AAAATAGTAGAAATAAAAGCATTGTAAACACAAAGACCGATATGTGAATATTTTATAGCTATCTTATATCAGCAAATGGTGTGATCCCATTTACGTAAATTCTACAAGAGGCAGAACTGTAGGGATAGCAGATCTATCTTGGAGCCTGGGGGAGGGAACTGACTACAAAGGAGTCTGCAGGAAGTTTTTAGGTAATGTACATATTCTATATCGTAATGGATATGGCTGTGTACATTTGTTAAAACTCATTAAACTGCACGTTTTAAAATTGTAAATTTTGTTTATACTTCAGTAAAGCTAATTTAAACAATTGTGAGGGTTATCTTGAGCTGTTTAGGAGTTCTTCATTTGTAAATGGGGCATTAGAGCTAAAGAAGTGCAAGTTTCTGGCTCAGAAGTACATGAGTGGTATGCATATAACTGGAGTGATTATCTCTTCTTCCTAGACCCACAGAGCTTCACAGTTTCCTTGGCATTAGATCACATCCTGCTGTGTACTATCTTTGTCCTTGATAACTTCTGTGGATGTACAGCTTGGCTTCCTGTATATAGATTCTTGAAACTCAGAGATACCTGTGTTCTTCATACTTCTCACTAGTATGTGTATGCTCAGTAAGTATTTGCTAATGAATGAAAGCTTGGTGTAGCACATTGTGCTGGGCAGACTTGGACAAAGAGCCAGGCATATCTCGTAGCATGATGGCAGACTCCTCAGATTCATCAGGGACCATGTCTAATGTATGGTTCCCCTGCGGAGTATGTCTACCACAAATGTAAGCTTCTTAATAAGGCACTGATTTTAGATGTTCTGCAAGAGCTTAGGTGGTGTTTTCTAATTTTGAAATTGAGGGACTTATCACCTTACTTTTTACCTCCGAAAGCCAATATAACTACGTGAGAACACAAGCGCCTCTTTAAGATTAATGGAAGAACACTGTCAGAATCAGAACTTTGTTCTTTATCCACAGATCTCCCACTCTTAAATATCCGTCCTCCTCTACAATTAAGGAAACCATACTAATGGCACAGAACTTAAACTTCTCTCAGGGCTAAACTGACTTCCCTCATACATCAAAGCTGTTACAATTCTGATTAATTTTTAAAATATTAGTAGATCTATGTACATTTAACACAAATTGACTTTTTTTTATCATCTAAGTCCACAAAGCAAGGATCTCAAAGATACCATGAGAGAACAATAAGAGGAAGATAGAATTCCACAGACTATATTCTCTTTCTTAAAAGTACATATTATTTTTTCAAAGAATTTCTTCTTTTTAAAAAAGATTTATTTTATTATTAATTTGAAAGGCAGAGCATCAGAGAGAGATCTTCCATGTGCTGGTTCACTCCCCAAATGGCTGCAATGGTCAAGAGCAGGAATCCATCTGGATCTCCCCCATGGGTGCAGAGGTCCAGGCATTTGTGCCATCATCCACTGCCTTCCCAGAAGGCAGGACTTGAACCAACACTTTGATAAAGGATGCTGATGTCCAAGTAACAACAATCCCCTGTGCCACAGCACGGACCCAAAAGTACTTACTTCTAGTGAAATATCAATATATCATTTAATATAATTCACATTTAACTATTCTTTCTCTGTTAGACATTCATTCTAAGTGCTTTATATACATTCTCTGTCTTAATTCACACAGTATTAGAAATAATTTTGTTGTCTCAATGTATAGGTGAAGAAACAGATACACAAAGGATAAATAACTTCCCCAAAGTGTCATATCTAGTAACAGTTTTCATGTCTAGTAAGTGATGCCACCTATATTTGAATCTTAGTCCACAGCTTGAATTCTTTAATAGAAATTTTTTATTTAATAAATATAAATTTCATAGGTACAACTTTGGGATTTAGTGGTTCTTCCCCATACCTGCATTCCCATCCCCAAACCATCCCACCTCCTCCCTCTCCCATCCCATTCTTCATTAAGATTCATTTTAATTCTCTCTATATACAGAAGATCAACTCTATACTAAGTAAGGATTTCAACAGTTTGCATCCAAAGCAGACACACAAAGTAAAAAGTACTGTTTGAAGACTAGTTTTACCGTTAATTCTCATAGTACAACTTATTAAGGACAGAGGTCCTACATGGAGAACAAGTGCACAGTGACTCCTGTTGTTAACAATTGACACTCTTATTTATGACATCAGTGATCACCTGAGGCTCTTGTCATGAGCTGTCAAGGTTATGGAGACCTCTTGAGTCCAAACTCCGACATTGTTTAGACAGGGCCATAATCAAAGTGGAAGTTCTCTCCTCCTTTCAGAGAAAGGTACCTCCTTCTTTGATGGCCCCTTTCCTCCGGGATCTCTCTCACAGAGATCTTGCATATAGGTCACTTTTTGCCACAGTGTCTTGGCTTTCCATGCTTGAAATGCATGCTCTCATGGCTTTTAGCCAGATCCGAATGTCTTAAGGGCTGATTCTGAGGCCAGAGTGCTGTTTAGGCATTTGTCATTCTATGAGTCTGCTCTGTGGCCTGCGTGCCATGTTGGATAGTTCTCTCCTTTTTAATTCTATCTATTATTATTAGCAGACACTTAGTCTTATTTATGTGATCTCTGACACTTATTCCTATCTTTATGATCAATTATAAACTTAAACTGATCACTGTAACTAGTAAGATGGCATTAATACCTGCCAACTTAATGAGATTTGGAGTCTCATGTCAAGCTTTAGCTTTATCCTTAGGGGTAAGTCTGAGGGAACATGTACTGAACTGTACATCTCCTCCCTTTCTTATTTCCACTTTTATTTTTAACAGGGATCAATTTTCAGTTGAATTTAAAACTTAAGAATAATTCTATGTTAAGTGAAGAGTTCAACCAATGATATTAAGTAAAAAAAATAAAAATAAAATAGTAAGGTGTTCCTTGGCTTATCAAGTCATTGCTTCTCATAGTGTCAGTTTCACTTCTATAGGTTTCCTTTAGGTGCTCAGTAGTTGTCACAGATCAGGGAGAACATATGATATTTGTCCCTTTGGGACTGGCTTATTTCACTGAGCATGATGTTTTCCAGATTCTTCCATTTTGTTGCAAATGACCAGATTTCATTTTTTTTTACCACTGTGTAGTATTCCATAGAGTACATATCCCATAATTCTTTATCCAGTCTTCCATTGACTGGTATTTAAGTTGATTCCATGTCTTAGCCATTGTGAATTGAGCTGCAATAAACATGGAGGTGAAGATAGCAGTTTATTTGCCAATTTAATTTCCCTTGGGTAAATTCTGAGGAGTGAGATGGCTGGGTCGTGGGCTATATTCAGTTTTCTGAGGTATCTCCAAACTGTCTTCCGTAGTGGCTTTACCAGTTTGCATTCCCACCAACAGTGGATTAGTGTGCCTTTTTCCTCACATCCTCGCCAGCATTTGTTGTTTGTTGATTTCTGTATGTGAGCCATTCTAACGGGGGTGAGGTGAAACCTCATTGTGGTTTTGATTTGCATTTCCCTAACGGCTGGTGATCCTGAGCATTTTTTCATGTGTATGTTGGCCATTTGGATTTCTTCTTTGAAAAAAGTCTGTTTAGTCCTTGGCCCATCTCTTAAGTGGGTTGTTGTTTGTTGTGTAGTTTCTTGATCTCTTGTAGATTCTGGTTATTAATCCTTTATCAAGTTGCATAATTTGCAAATATTTTCTCCCATTCTGTCGGTTGCATCTTCACTTTCCTGTTTCTTTCACAGCCTGAATTCTAGCATCTGATACAGATACATTTAAGACAACAAGTATGACTAAATAGTTAAAATTTGATTTAGTATCAGAGAGTTAATGTAAATTTTTAAAAAAGATTTATTTATTTGAGAGGCAGAATTACAGAAAGAGGAAGAGACACAGAGAGAGGACCGCCATCCACTGGTTCACACCCCCAAATGGCTGCTATGGCCAGAGCTGGGCTGATCAGGAGCCAGGAGCTTCCTCTGAGTCTCCCTAGTGGGTACAGGGGCCCAAGTACTTGGATCATCATCCCCCACTGCTTTCTGAGGCTATTAGCAGGGAGCTAGATCAGAAATGGAACAGCTGGGACTCAAACTGGTGCCCATATGGGATGCTGGCCTTGCAGGCGGAGGCTTCACCTATACCATAGCACCTGCCCCTGTAAATTGGAATATAATTTATTGCAGAAATGATTTGAAGTTATTTAACATTGGAATATCAAAGAATTTCTGTAACCAAGATACTGGAATATCAGCTAGTTTAAAAAGTTATTTTGACAGACTTGGGATCATAAAATGGACCCTTTACTGTACTTTTTTTTTTTTTTTTTTTTTTGACAGGCAGAGTGGACAGTGAGAGAGAGAGACAGAGAGAAAGGTCTTCCTTTGCCATTGGTTCACCCTCCAATGGCCACTGCGGCCAGCGCACCGCACTGATCCGATGGCAGGAGCCAGGTGCTTATCCTGGTCTCCCATGGGGTGCAGGGCCCAAGCACTTGGGCCATCCTCCACTGCTCTCCTGGGCCACAGCAGAGAGCTGGCCTGGAAGAGGGGCAACCAGGACAGAATCCGGCACCCCGACCGGGACTAGAGCCCGGTGTGCCGGCGCCGCAAGGCGGAGGATTAGCCTAGTGAGCCACGGCGCCGGCCCCCTTTACTGTACTTTCAAGATGGTTGCTTATTGTGACTTACCCTACACATTGCTTTTTCAGAAAGTGATGGTGCACGTTTTCTGGGCTATGTGGTAACTAAACAAACATGAGCACTCAATTTGATGTTTGAGAGGAGACTATAAAAAGAGTCCTCAGAGACAGTATAAGAGCAAAGGGGGATCCTTTGCTTCTTGAGACAAAGAATGAGGAGAATGAGCTAGGGATAGGGTATTCATTGAACATTTCTGAGAAAGAGTGGCTAGTGTGGGCAGAGTTTACATTTTAGAGTAAATAGAACCCAAGGGAGTTGCTCCTGTAACCTTCCAGGAGAAACCCAAAGACATAATCTCCCTCTTCGTATATTTGTTGATCTCCCATGAGCATTTTCTCTTAGACTCACTATCACTGTGCTTGCAAAGTTGTAATTAAGTCTGCTCTGATAGAAGTCTGAATGTTCCTGAAGGTATTTTTAGAAATACTGTTCATTTACTTTTCTCAATGAATGGTGTTCAGGGAAGTTAGCATCATGTGGTGAGGATAATTTTAAAGTGGGTAATTGAAAATCTGGATCTTAGCCTCAGCACTACTAGTTACTTTGTATCCTTAAATTTATCATTCACTCTCTCTGGGCTTTATTATTCTCTAAAACCCCAATTGGGGGAAATTAGGAGAGATGACATCTGAGATTCCTTTCATTGCTAAATTCTCAAGTTTTATGACTGCTTTTGGCTAGGAGTTTCATGTGATTGAAAGCTGTTCTCATCTGCTGCGTTATTTATTTCTTTTTGATCATGGTCCATAAACTGTAGAGTCACTAATGTGCAGTCTTTATACTAAAATCTTTTTGCACATAATTCTGTGGTACTTTTATGCCCACCAAAACTATATGGCATACCAAATATGTTTAACTTTTATTCTCTTTATCTATATCACATGTCTTAAACCAGGTCATTTCTGCATATGAAACATGGAGATTATTCATTTAGGTAAATAATAGGATTTCTTGTGCCAAATCAGTCAGAGGAGAAACAACTGGTGTCCAGTATAATCTGTTGAACTCCTTTATGAGGTTTCTCATGATATTCTCACTGAAATTGTATAGCAAATTCAGACATTGGAGTTTAAATTCTATTTTCACTTTATCTGGTTTGTTTTGGTTTACTGTTAATTTCTTTGGTGTACTCATAATATCTTTTAGATCCAGTGCATGTGCTTCAATTCGTGCATGATTGAAAGACTGCAGTGTGTATGTACTATAATGCAATTAGTACATGTCGTTTGAATTTAATATGAAATACTCTGAACATTTTAGAATTTGAAAATATAAACCAAGCACCTTTTTCCTTTGAGGTCAGAATTGGATGCCTTTATGTATGCTCAGATAGAAAGGTAGAAAGTACAAGAGTTCTTGACCCTGCTCCCCACTTCACCTCTAGTCCTGCTCAACCAGAGGAGGTCACTCTTAGTAGTATGATGAATACCCTTCTGCATGTTTTCTTTCTTTTCCAAAGATTTATTTATTTGGAAGTCAGAGTTACACAGAGAGAGGCAAGGCAGAGAAAGAGAGGTCTTCCATCTGCTGGTTCACTCCCCAATCGGCCGTGTCAGCGGGAGCTGAGCCGACCCGAAGCCAGGAGTCAGGAGCTTCTTCCGGGTCTCCCACATGGGTGCAGGGGCCCAAGGACCTGGGCCATCTTCTGCTGCTTTCCGAGGCCATAACAGAGAGCTGGATCGAAAGTGGAACAGCCGGGACTCAAACCAACCACCCAAATGGGATGCCAGCACTGCAGGCGGTGGCTTTACCTACTACACCATAGCTCCAGACCCCTCCTTCTGCATATTTTCTACACACTCTTCAGACTGTGTAAACATGTAATGAGTTCTTCATATATCTCCCTCCCAAATTTTTATTTATTTGGAAGATAGAGAGGGAGAGAGATCGCCTATGTATTAGACCGTTGCCCAAATGCCTGCAGTAGCTAAGATTGAGCCAGGCCAAAACCAGGAGCTGAGAATCCGATCAGGATCTCCTGTGCAGGTGATAGGGCCTTCATTCAGTTGAGCCATCACCTGCTTCATCCCACAGTGTGCATCAGCAGGAAGCTAGAATTAGGAGCAGAGCCAGGACTGTAACCCAGGCACTCAAATATGGGATGTAGGTGTCCCAAATGATGTCTTGAGCACTGTGCCAAATGCCCACTCCACATTATATTTTAAGAGCCTCAGTGATTGGCAGAGGCAAACTGAGGACAGAATCTGGTACCATGTCTTACTTGTCAATAAGGCTGATTTTAAAATAGTTTCACTGCCACTTTGTGTTTAATGTATTCATGAGATTAGAGTCAAAGCCAAGAGCTGATAGAACAAACTACAATGAGAGGGCAGTGTTGGGCATGATTTTATCAGCTGTAAATGACCTTGGACCCATAGTCCCCCTAGAAACAGCTAGTAATAGTTGTCTTTTATTTTATTAAATTTTATTTATGTATTCAGGAGACAGAGATAGGAAGAGAGCTCCTATATGCTGAATCACTCCCCAAATGCCCACAATGGCAGTGACTGAACTGGCACTAACGTCAGGTGGCAGGAACACAATTCCTTGGGCCATCACCACTGCCACCCCAGACCTGCATTAGCAGGAAACTGGAGTTGGAAGCCAGAGCCAGGAATCTTTCCCAGGTACTACAGTGTGGGACACAAGCATCTTAACAGCCGCATCCATTCTCGTAGTTGTCTTTTAAATAAGGATAGGGGGAGCAGCTAGTAGGGTGTAAAGGAAAAGAAAATCAAACCCAAAAGTTAATTTTTTTTTCTTGCTAACAAAACATTTTGTGGTTTTGTTATATCAATAGCAAATCATCCTCAATCTGAGTTCTAGCATTGCTATTCCCATAAAATTTGTCCATAGAAATTTTATCCCAGTCTGTCTGAATTTGCCTGTGCATAGTCTTCAACCTGAATGTTACATCAGAGTCAATAGACCTGGAGCATACTGTTCTGAGTACTTTTTATGACTGTCTTACCAGCCATCAGTGCCATGTTTTTTCTTTGGGAATGTGAGCTTCATAACATGCTACTGGGTTGAGTGTGAGTATCTACCACTGTCCTATGTAGTATTTTTTTTTAAAGGTTTATTTATTTATTTGAAAGGCAGAGTTACATAGAGAAGCAGATAGAGAGAGAAAGGTCTTCCATCTGCTGGTCTTCATTCCCCAGATTGCCGCAACAGCCAGAGCTGCGCCAATCTGAAGCCAAGAGCCAGGGGCTTCTTCCAGGTTTCCCACGTGGGTGCAGGGGCCCAAGGACTCAAGCCATCTTCCACTGGTTTCCCAGGCCATAGCAGAGAGCTGTATCAGAAGTGGAGCAGCCGGGACTTGAACTGGCGTCCATATAGGATGCTGGCACTTCAGGCAACCCTCTAAGAGGGCAAAGGGCTTAGTGTCTTCCTTAAAACTCCATCCCCAGGGCCGGCGCCGCGGCTCACTAGGCTAATCCTCCGCCTAGCAGCGCCGGCACACCGGGTTCTAGTCCCGGTCGGGGCGCCGGATTCTGTCCCGGTTGCCCCTCTTCCAGGCCAGCCCTCTGCTGTGGCCAGGGAGTGCAGTGGAGGATGGGTCAAGTGCTTGGGCCCTGCACCCCACGGGAGACCAGGAAAAGCACCTGCCATCGGATCAGCGCAGTGCGCCGGCCGCAGCGCGCCGGCCGCGGCGGCCATTGGAGGGTGAACCAACGGCAAAGGAAGACCTTTCTCTCTGTCTCTCTCTCTCACTGTCCACTCTGCCTGTCAAAAAAAACAAAAACAAAAACAAAACAAAAAAAAAAAAAAAAAAAAAAAAACTCCATCCCCAGAGGGGCCGGTGCTGTGGTGTGGTGGGCTGAGACCATGCCTGTGGCACTGGCATCCGATGTGGGCGCCAGCTCTCTGCTGTTGGCCTGGAAGGGTGGTGGAAGATGGCCTGGGCATTTGGGCCCCTGTGCCCACTGGCTATTGGCTTCAGGACTGCCGTTGCTGCCATTCGGGGAATGAACCAGAAGATGGAAGACCTTTAACAAAAAAATACAACTCCATCCCCAGAGTTGATACTTTTTTATCTGTCTGGCAGCTAACAGAAAAATCTCTATTTTCTATGTCTTTATTTATTTATTTGAAAACCAGAGTTACACAGAGAGAGGAGAGGCGGGGCGGGGGGTGTCTTCCATCCTCTGGTTCACTCCCCGAATGGCAGCAATGGCCAGAGCTGCACCAATCCGAAGCCAGGAGCCAGGAGTTTCTTCCAGGTCTCCCATGCTGGTGCAGGGGCCCAAGGACTTGGGCCATCTTCTACTGCTTTCCCAGACCATAGCAGAGAGCTAAATCGGAAATGGAACAGCTAGGACTCGAACCGGCACCCATATAGGATGCCTTCACTGCAGGAGGTAGCTTTACCCGCTACACCAGTGCCGGCCCTGAAATCTCCATTTTCAAGGCTTGTCTTTATTTGAACAAATTCAGAGCTTAGAGAACAGAATGTTCATAGGAGTCTTTGAAAATCTCCAACATATTCCTGGAACTCTAGCAGGACACACACATGCCCAGAGAGAACTGTGAAACCCTAAAACCACACTGCTAGCCAGCCTTGAGGCTCTGTGTGAGTAGGAAGTGAGGACCAAGGCAGAGTGTTAATTGCCAGCTGGAACACATAGAAAGCTCCTCTGCAAGGGTTGAGAGACGTTTTAGTTGAAGGCATTTAAGGAAATCTTGTTTAAACCGTTAACTAACTACGAAACTAATGGAACCAGAAACTTCAGAGGTCACACACAATAAAGAATACGGAATGATTCCAGGAAAGGCAATAGGCAAACAGTAGCAACAACAAATCCTGGGCAAGGGAGGGATTTAATCTCCATAGTTGTCACATTACATTATTTAAAACTTCTAATTTTCCACTAAAAATTACAAAACTTGCAAGGAAACAGAAGTATATGGCCTGTACACAGGAAGAGGAAATGCAGTCGATAGAAACTGTCTCCAAGGAGGGCAACACACGGATTTACAAAGAGTTTAAATTGCTGCAGTCATGTGATACAGTATTGTTTGGGTCAGTGAGTCACCTATAGACTTTGCTGTTCTGTGCTTATACTTCTGCTCACTTAACATTTGAGCTGCCAGGGCATGGCTTACCCAGAGAAGCATGCATTTCTATATGCATGTCCCCTCTCCGCCCCAAGTCTCCTATTTCATCAGCCTACCCGTCACTAAGATATGAAATTTCATAAGTTAAGTTAAACTGGAATATTGTCCCTTAAATGCAAATGTTCTTGGGAAAAGCACCATGTTAAGCATTTCTCAATCATTAAGACATTTGGGACAAAGCATTTGTTTGGTATGTGTAACCACTGAGCTAGTTTGCCAAGAAGAGATTTTAGAGCCCCAGGGGGAAAATAGAGCAAGAGATCCACAGCAGGTGGGGTAGGCCAGATTACACTGCCTAGAGCTGACAGGGAAAGCCCCTGAGAGGAAGGCAACGCAGTGAGTGGGAGGAGAACGGAACAGGGACATGGAGCAGGCAGCTGCAAATTTTACCTTCACCACTTTTGCTCAGATCCAATCCCACAGGGGAACACTCTTTCTGGCCAGGTTGGCAAGCACTTCATATGATTCATGCAGACAGGTCTCTGGTGGGTGTGTGCCTCTCTGCTTTTCAAGTGCTGTGTTACAGACTTTCTGTGACACTGCTTTTACAAGTAGTGATGATAGGCCTTATAATTATCCTCACTGTGGCAGCAGGCATGCTCAGACTGGTTGTGCTAAATTGTTTCTGCAGCATCTAGATCTGTAGGTGATGAGTGTCAAAAGCCTCTTTAGTTAGGACACCCTCACTAAATGGGGTAAGACTCATAAAGACTTCTCCTTTTTGTGTGTTAGGATACACAAGTGAGATACTAAGAGGCATGCTGGATGCTGTAGTCCTAGTTTGGTTTTCTTTTTGCTATTGTGTGCAAATCTTTTATTTGGCTGGATTGGTTACCTAGGAAACAGCTGCACAGTAAGATGGATTGGCTGTTTGGGGAATGGAATTGGCCCCTCCAAGAGGCAAAATACCTGTTCTATCAAAAAAGAATTAGTGGATGCTATAGGAACCAGAGTAAGATAGTTCTGTAGAAGAGCATACTTAATACTGGATGGCTTTAAATTTAGCTTGTTTTTAATTCATTTAAACCCACCAAATGCTTATTAATTCCTGCTCTATACTCACTGCTGCAGTCATCTTGGGGTTTTCCACTGACATAGAAGGTGTAGTTTCCTCTTCAAAAAGATGGTGTTTGATTTGGAGTAAAAAGAAGCTATCTGGAAAGTGAGGTTACAATTGAATGATACAGACTAAATGTGTGAACAAATTTAGGAGAAGTAAAAGATCTTGACAGTGTGAGTGATGGATATGAATCTACAAGCAGGACATAATTCAGTGGTGAGAGTTTAGATGCTAACCTGGAATTTACAATATTTACCAGTAGCAGCGTAGGCATCCCCAGAGATTCCACCAGGTAGTTACTTTACGGAAAATATGTGACTATGATATAAATTTTGCTGGCTTAGAGTCTTAAGAAAATGAATTTTAATAACAATGTTGGCCAAAACACTGTTTGCACTAGGCCTTGTATAATATAGTTAAACAAAGTATATTATCACTGAAAATGTGATGGTATTAGTTGTGGAATCTGTGACCAAAACAACAGTGCTAAGAGATGCTTAATAAAATGTTTGCGTGTTGATTTTCTTATATACCTTATGCCTTCTGCTTGTCCATTAGCATTAGCTTTCCTTTCTTCCAGAATAGAGCTACTAAATGCTTGGTCTTGATTTGTTGTGATTAAGAATTTTGCAAATACAGGAGTATAGTGCTTCTTTTAAAAAAATTAAAGATTTATTTATTTGTGTTAAAAGTCAGTGTTAAAAAAGAAGAGAGAGAGAGAGATCTTCCTTCTGCTGGTTCATTCCCCAAATGGCACCAACAGCCAGGGCTGAGCCAGGCTGAAGCCAAGAACTTGTTCTGGGTCTCCCACGTGGGTGCAGGGGACCAAGCACTTGAGCCATCTCCTTCTGCTTTCCCAGGTGCATTAACGGAGCTAGATCAGAAGTGGAGTGCCAGGACACAAACCATCGCCTGTATGGGATGCCAGTGTCCCAGGCAGTGGCTTTACTCACTACTTCACGATGCTGGCCCCTAGCACTTTAAACATCAAACATCTGTCAGGTTATTTCCAGCTGGTTTGTAGACAGCATAGATGTAATTTTCATTGTCTTACTTGTTCTGTTTATATTTACTTGGTGTAGTATGCCAGCAGGAGAAGATAAAAGCAGTCCTACTTAGAAAACTTACCAGTCTCCAGGCACAGGAGGTTAAGTTAAATTTTATCCCTAATATTCCTCACTATGTCCATAAATGGAGAGAGGCAACATAAGGATACTCAAAGTATTTTTTCTTTTTTTTTTTAATGTATTTTATTTATTTGAAAGAGTTACAGAGAGAGGTAGAGACAGAAAGAATCTTCCATCTGCTGGTTCACTCTCAGGTGACCACAATGGCCGGAGCTGTGCAAATCCGAAGCCAGGAGCCAGGAGCTTCTTCCTGGTCTCCCAAGTGAGAGCAGGGACCCAAAAACTTGGGCCATCTTCTGCTATCCCAGCCCACAGAAGAGAGCTGGATCGGAAGAGCAGCAGCCGGGACTAGAACAGGTGCCCATATGGGATGCCGGTGCTTCAGGTCAGGGCTTTAACCCGCTGCTCCACAGCACCAGACCCTCAAAGTATTTTGAAGGAGAGATATTTTCATTATGATTTCCTGAACCTATGACTTTTAATATTTACCAGCAAAAAAAAATTCAGATTTAAATCTTAAGTTCTGTTGATTTGTAGGGTAACCAATTAAACATCTTTTGTATATGAAGGAAGCTGCTGTTGTTAAGAGGTCAGTGTTGCATTTTGTCACAGGGTCTTTTGTTGCCTGCAGTTTTTTGTAGCAATAACATGTTTGTTTGTTTTTAAAGATTTTATTTATTTGACAGGTAGAGTTACAGACAGTAAGAGAGAGAGAAACAGAGAGAAAGGTCTTCATTCCATTGGTTCACTCTCCAAATGGCCTCAACAGCCGGAGCTGTGCCAATCCGAAGCCAGGAGCCAGGTGCTTCTGGTCTCCCGTGCCAGGGCAGGGACCCAAGCACTTGGGCCACCTTCTGCTTTCCCAGGCCACGGCAGAGAGCCATGGCGCACTAGGTTAATTCTCCACCTGCGGCACCGTTCTAGTCCCGGTTGCTCCTCTTCCAGTCCAGCAATAACATGTTTAATAACACAGTGGTTAAAGTCACTGGTTGGGATGCCTGCATTCCATATCAGAGTGCCTGGTTTGAGTCCCAGCTATTCTGTATTCAATCCAGCTTCCTGTTAATGTGCACCCAGGGAGGCAGCAGGTGATGGCTCAAGTACTTGGGTCCCTGACACCCATGTGGAAGGCTTGGATGCTATTCTGGGCTGTTGACTTGGGCCTAGTCCAGTCTTGGCTGTTGGGCATCTGGGGAGTGAATTCGTGGATGGAAGATTCATTCTTTCTCTCTCCTCTCCTCTCTCTTCTCTTCTCTGTGTGTGTGTGTGTGTGTGTGTGTATGTGTGTGTGTGTGTGTGTGCCTTTAAATAAAATGAAATAAATAATTTTTAAAAGATGAAGCTTAAAAAATAAATGGAACAATGATAACAAAAAACTAATTTGTTAGAAGTCTTTGCTGACTGGCCAGGAATAGTTTTCTGTTAGGAGTTGTTGGGCACTGCTGTGAATGCCTTCTTTATTTCTAAAATTATAATAAAATGCTTTATCATAGTTAGACATTTCTCTCCTCCAGGTTGCTTTTCCCCCAGGGAAACTCTTTAGTGTTTCAATTTAAGTACAGTCATGCAACACTTTGATGCCTACACACCCCTGCCCTATCACCCTCTTTCGGTTTCATGCAGTAACTGTGAAACTTAAAGGTTAGCAGTAGTTCAAAAATGTGTACTGAGGTACATTTCTTTGGCCTATGAAGTCATTCAGCTCCAAGCAGCATGGATGACGTTATGGTGAGGTTTACTCACTTTGTCCCATCTGCCTTCATCCTGTTCATGACAGTTCCATAATTATAAGGTTGTTTGTACCTGTGTAGAGATCACTAGATCTAACTATTAGATCATGTGGGAGCAAAAGTATTAGTTTATCATTTTCCTCTCTATAGTTATGGTCAGATTTAGCATTAGAGGAAAAGAAGACTATAAGTCAATTTTGAGAATAAAACTGATTTCTTGTGTCATTTTCTCTCACCACATTGCTTTATTTTAAAAAATATATCAATGACAAAATAAAAGTTGCACAAAAGCATCTTCCTTCAAAAGCACTACCTACCCACAAATACATTTCTACGCAGATCCAGCCCTGGTCTGCTTCTACCACAGCAGCTTCCCAAAATGCTCCTAGGAATTCTACTGACTCTTTATAGAAGGCCCTGATTCATGGCAAGTCCTGTGATTTTTGAACTCAGTGTCATTTTTACTTTTAATTTGTATTCATATTCAGAAAATGCAGACTGAAAAATAAGAGCCAGAAAGCTGTTATGTTTTCAGTGGCTTCAGAAATTTCTATTCTTGTGTTTTTGGTAACTGTTTTCTCATTTGCAGCTGCTCATACAAGGGGAAACAAGCAGTTTTGTTCAGAATCAATATTTTAATCATTCTTAGTAGGGAAGCAGAGAAAATAATTACTCTTTCACCTTCCTGATTTGAGTTTCAGTAAATTAATTCATCTCAAATTTGATAGAGGGGCTCCTTAGTTTTGACATGGAAAAATTCTTATGGAAAAGTAGCACTTTTTTTTTTTTTAAGATGTATTTTTTTCAAAGTCAGAGTTACACAGAGAAGGAGAGAGAGATAGCTTCCATCTGCTAGTTCATTCCCAATTGTCTGCAACAGCCAGAGCTGTGTTGATCTGAAGCCAGGAGCCAGGAGCTTCTCCTAGGTCTCCCGCATGGGTGCAGGGGCCCAAGGACTTGGGCCTTCTTCCACTGCTTTCCCAGGCCATAGCAGAAAGCCGGATCAGAAGTGGAGCAGCCAGGACTTGAACCAGCGCTCATTTGTGATGCCGGCACTGCAGGCAGTGGCTTCACCTGCTATGCCACAGCACCTGCCCCAAGCACTTGGTTTTTTAATGTTTGTTTGAAAGGCAGAGGGAGAGAAAGATCCTCCATCTGCTGGTCCACTCTTTTTTTTTATTTTTATTTTTTATTTTTTTTGACAGGCAGAGTGGACAGTGAGAGAGAGAGAGACAGAGAGAAAGGTCTTCCCTTTTGCCGTTGGTTCACCCTCCAATGGCCACCGTGGCCGGCGCGCTGCAGCCAGCACACCATGCTGATCTGAAGCCAGGAGCCAGGTACTTATCCTGGTCTCCCATGGGGTGCAGGGCCCAAGCACTTGGGCCATCCTCCACTGCACTCCCGGGCCACAGCAGAGAGCTGGCCTGGAAGAGGGGCAACCAGGACAGAATCCGGCACCCCGACCGGGACTAGAACCCGGTGTGCCGGCGCCGCAGGCGGAGGATTAGCCTAGTGAGCCACGGCGCCGGCCTTGGTCCACTCTTCAAATGCCCACATCAGCCGGGGCTGGGCCAGGTGGAAGCCAGGAGCTGAGAACTCCATCCAGGTCTCCCGTGTAGGTGGCAGGGACCCAGGTACTTAACCCATCACTTTCTGCCTCCCAGAATGCACATTAGCAGGAAGCTGATCAAAGGCAGAAGCAGCAAAGTAGCCAAGATCACACTGGCAATCTTGATAGATTTGGCATCCCAAGTGATGGCTTAACTCATTGTGTCACAACATTTCCACTCAAACGCTTGATATTGTACAAAAATGACTTTCACGTTATTTAACATGAAAGGGGAGGGACTTTAAAATTTGCCTTTGTGGGGCCAGAGTTGTGGCACAGTGAGTTAAGCCACTGCCTGCTATTGCCAGCATCTCATATGGGCATTGGTTCAAGTACTAGCTGCTCCACTTCTGATACAGCTCCTTGCTAATGTGCCTAGGAAAGCTGTAGAATATGGCCCAAGTGCTTGGGCCCCTGAACCCACATGGGAGACCTGGATGAAGCTCCTGGCTCCAGATTTTGGCCTGGCCCACCCCTGGTCGTTGCGGCCATTTGGGGAGTGAATCAGTGGATGGAAGATTGTCTCTATCCCTCCCTCTCTCCCTCCCCTTCCCTCCCCTTCCCTCCTCTTCCCTTCCCTTCCCTCCCTTCCCCTCCCCTCCCCTCCCTCTCTGTCTCTCTCTCTCTCTCACCTCTCGCATGTAACTCTGACTTTGAAATAAAATAATCTTTAAAAGAAAATTTGCCCTATACTTTGTTGCAGCATTGCAGTGGTGGGTTTAGCAAAGTGAACACTTGTACATTGTACAAAAGTTAGTGCACTTAGGAAATGAGAGGGGAGATCTACCAATTTCTCTAACCTTTGTTTGCATTTGATATAAAATGACTTAAATATTCCTTTTTTTAAAAGATTCATTCATTTATTTGAAGGCAGAGTTATAGTGAGAGAGTGAGAGGCACAGAGAGAGGTCTTCTATCTGCCGGTTCACTCTCCAAATGGCCACAGTGGCCAGGGCTGGACCATTTGGACGAGGCCAAAGCCAGGAAACAAGAACTTCTTCCAGGTTTCCCACATGGGTGCAGGCTCCCAAGCCTTTGGGTCATCTTCTACTGCTTTCCCACGGGCATTAACAGGGAGCTGAAATGGAAGTGGAGCAGCCATGACATGAACTGGCACCCATATGGGATGTCCACGCTGTAGACAGCAACTTAACCAACTGTGCCACAATGCTGGACCCAACTAATGATATTCTTAGCCCCATTAACTTTTATCAATACATTGCTGCTGGTATTTAATCTAGTATTTACTTATGATTAGATATATTACATATTTCTCTTTACTTTTTTTTTTTTTAAAGAGTTACTTATTTAGAAAGAGTTAGAGGGAGACACACAGAGAGGGCTTCTGACTACTTGTTCACTTACCAGATGGCGACAACAGCCAGCTCTGGGCCGGGCTGAAGGCCCAAGCCAGGAGCTCCATCCAGGGGCCCAAACATTTGAGCCATCTTCCACTGTTTTTCCCAGGCTACTATCAGGGAGCTGGGTCACAATTGAAGCAGCCAGGTCACAAACCAGCAACCATATGAAATGCTGGCATTGCAGGCTGTGGCTTTACCTACTACATAACGCCAGTCCATCTTCATTGTTGTAAAAAGTTTTCTCCTCAGTTAAAATAATATACAGTGAGTCTGGGATCTGGGAATAGAAAAATCCCAGTTCTTCCTGTAAGGAACCTCATCTATCTTGGTCACTCACAGTTTTCCTGGAACCTAGATGGTGCCTGACATAAATTCTGAGAAAAGTGTTTGTTTAAAGAATGACTGAGGGGCCGGCACTGTTGCATATCCAGTAAAAGTAGCAACAGTTCAAGTCCTGGCTGTTCCTCTTCCGATCCAGCTCTCTTCTGTGGCCTGGGATAGTAGTAGAAGATGGCCCAAGTGCTTGGGCCCCTGCACCTGCATAGGAAGCCTGGAAGAAAGCTCCTGGCTTCAGATCAGCTCAGCTCCAGCTGTTAATGGCCATTTGGAGAGTGAACTAGCATATGAAAGACCTTTCTCTGTCTCTCCCACTCTATGTAACTCTGCCTTTCATATAAATAAATAAATAAATCTTTAAAAAAAAAAAAAAAAGACCTTGTGGCTGGCGCTGTGGTGCAGTGGGTTAATGTCCTTGAAGTGCCGGCCCCCCATATGGGCACCAGTTCTAGTCTCGGCTGCTCCTCTTCCAATCCAGCTCTCTGCTGTGGCCTGGGAAAGCAGTAGAAGATGGCCCAAGTCCTTGGGCCCCTGTGACCACATGGGTGACCCGGAGGAAACTCCTGGCTCCTGGCTTCTGATCAGCACAGCTCCAGCCGTTGTGGCCAGTTGGGGAGTGAACCATCAGATGGAAGACCTCTCTCTCTCTCTCTGCCTCTCCTCTCTCTGTGGAACTTTCACTTTCAAATAAATAAATAAATAAATCTTAAAAAAAAAAAAACAAGAATGAAAGAACTGCGTTTTGTGATTTTTGTGAAGTGTGTGGTTTTCTTTAATGCACTTTTTGCTTTATATGTTAGGCAAGGGTGACTGCGTTAGGAATTTCAGCAGACTGAAGGGAAGTCAATGCTTGAATGACTCTCACAGAGACTAATGATATTTAAGGGCCAAAGGGAAGGTGGTGGGAAATATTCCCTGGATGTTCCAGCTCCATTAAAGTATTCCCACTTTTTGCATCTCCCCAGGAGCACTCACTGTGGGCCTTGTGCGACAGTGTCAAACAATCCACGGACGAGATCGGACGTGCATCCCTCCCCGGCTTCCCCCAGAGTGGATCACCACACTGTTTTTTATCATTATGGGAATCATTTCATTGACTGTCACATGTGGTTTGCTGGTGGCTTCCCACTGGCGAAGAGAAGCTACAAAATATGCTCGATGGATAGCATTCACTGGAAGTAAGTAGCCTGTGCTTACTAAATTTGTATAGAAGGCGCCCACACTGGTATTTCTGTGAAGATAATCAAGAATCAGTAATAAGGACTTCATAATCATCAAAGAGCACCACTTGCGTATGGTCAAGAGATAGACTCTGCACAGTCCCATCAGTTCTTCAAAATGCTTACAAGACCAGGACGTCCACAACTTCAATTGCTTTGCATGAATGCTATTTTAATCAATTTTATTTTTGCTCACATTGTGACATAAGCCAGGTTTGTGACTCAGAGCTACCAACAGCTTGAGTCTTTTCCTCCTCTTGAAGGTATTGGTTTTTCTATCAAAAATAAAGGTAACCCTAGGAAAAATATATAAAGATTATAAATCAGATGAAGGTGGTGATTTGCTTTTTAACACTGATTTTGAGTTTCTGCTGTGTAGTGTTATATGACCATTAAGAAATCAACACTTTGGTTATTCAATATTTATCGTCATTTCTTACTCTATTAAGCTATGCCCAAGGGTGTAATAAATTATAATTTACACATTCTCTTGTACTTTGCAAAACTGATTTAATTTCAAAGCACACCAGAGGCTTATCACAAGTTAAAGGAAACAAAAATGCACAAAGAAAAGATATTTCTGTAACTCTGCTTTCTTGCTTCCTTCTCTCTAAAGCAATTTTTCACCCCAGCAGGCATTTGGCAATATCTGAAAAAAGCATTTTTGGTAGTCACAACTATGGAGACTGCTGCTGGCATTTAGTGTGTACTAATGCACAGGACAGCCTCCCGTAACAAAGAATTATCTGGCCCAAAATGGCAGTAGTGCCACTGTTGAAAAAAGACCCTGCTCTAAAGTAGTGAGATAACAGTACCTATGCAGAGTACTATGGAATTTAACATCAAACTTAATGCCTGGAAATCATCTTTAGTTTGCCTAAGTTTAAAAAACGAGTATTGGAATACAACTTACTTTCACTTGACATTTTCTTTTAGAACCAGTACAACTGTGGTAACATAATCCCATATATCCTATTACAGTGTTAAAATTTCAATTTATCCAGAAAGGCTGTTGATAGCAATTTCTCTTCGTGAGTCTCTGTTTTTTCCTGTCTCTCTGTGAAACTTTTTAATGTGTGTATTTTTAGTTCTTTTGTTTTATTTTTTTCTATATCACCTTTAATTTTTAAACTTAGATCATGTGCCTTTGACATCAAGAAGCTTTTCCTCCCATGATAAGCAATATGAAACAGGCTAATAATCTTTCCCTTGTCACACAGGCCTTCAGATGGCTCTTTGGAGAGTAGGGTCCGGAAGCAGTTGTAGAGACAGGGCTGCTAAATTAAAGGGTATTGAAAAAGAATTTGAAGATAATCTGATTCTTCATCTTTGAAAAAAGATTTTTAATTTTTAAAGACTTATTTATGTGATAGGCAACATGACAGAGAGAAAAGAGAGAGATCGATCTTCTCCCCACTAGTTCACTCCCCAGATTGCTGCTCTGGGCGAGGCTCAGCCAGACTGAAGCCAGAAGACTGGAACTATGTCCGGGTTTCTCATATGAGTGGTAGGAGCCCAGGTAGTGTGGGCCCTCATCCTCTTCTTGCCCAGGTGCATTAACAGGGAGCTAGATCAAAACGGAGCAGCTGCACCTGAACCATTACTCCAATATAGGATTCCTAATGGATGCCAGATGTCACAAATGACAGCTTAACCTGCTTTACTGAACACTGGACCCCTGAGTCTTTATTTCTTACTTATAAATGCAGTCACTATCTAGATAGAATTCATTCTTTAAGGAATGAATAACATCAAAGAAGGATTTAGTTTCTGGATTTAGTTGAAATTTAAGAAGACATTTTCTTTAAATACCAAAAATCTAGACCGTAATTTAGCAAAGTAGTCGAACCAACACATTAAGAGGCTCAGATATAATTTTCCTTTATAATATGCAAAATATCTTTTTCTAATACATTTTTTCTTTATTTTAAGGTTTATCTTTTGAAATAGTATGTGAATATGATACATAATTCAAAGCCTGTGAAAGGATAACCGTGTGAAAAGTCTCATTTGTGGCCCTGTCACCCTGCCATCCAATAATTCTTCCTGGAAGCAACCACTGATAACCAGTTTCTGGGGTTTCCTACTAGAAGTATGCTACACATGAGAACATAAATACGTGTGTGTGTGTGTGTGTGTGTTCTATAAATGCACATATAAACATTTCTCATACTCTCTGTACCTTGGTCTTTTTAACAAAATGTCAGGGAGTGGATTTGATGTTAGTAAACACAGAGCTGCCTTACTCTTCTTCAGCTTCCTTCAAGTCTGCTGTGCCCAGAGCTGGTCAACTGCAGTGGCTGCTGTGAAAGGGATGAGGCTCCCCCTAGTGTTTCTATTCAGCCCTGGGAAATGTCCAATATTCTTTCTATTTCTATTCCAGTGCAGCTGTAGTCTTACTAATAATATGAGGGGAACATTATTAGTGCACAGTGGGGAAATACTTAACAGAAGAGAGCCCCATGTGGTAGGGCTTGTCTGTGGGGGTAAAGGAAACAAAGATGAGTCCTTTCTTCAAGTCTGACTCCTGTTCTGTCCTTTGCCGACCTGGTCTACAACCCCCTCCACTAGAGCATCTGATTTCTGTCACCACCAAGAAATCTGCCATGGAGGGTATGAAGTTAGATCTTTTACAAGCTTATTTAGGACCCAGAACTTAATTTTCAGAGGATGATAGATACTATCAACATTAATAATATCTTTTAAAAATAATTTCTTTTGTGGGGCCAGCGCTATGGCTCAGCAGGTTAACACCCTGGCCTGAAGTGCCAGCATCCCATATGGGTGCCAGTTCTAGTTCCAGCTGCTCCTCTTCCAATCCAGCTCTCTGCTATGGCCTGGGAAAGCAGTAGAAGATGGCCCAAGTGCTTGGGCCCCTGCACCCGTGTGGGAGACCTCTTGGCTCCTGGCTTCGGATGGAAGACCTCTCTCTCTGTCTCTATCTTTCTCTGTAACTCTGCCAGTCAAATAAATAAAAAAAAATTTTTTTAATAATATCTTAAGATCTAAAGTAACTTCACAATTCTCAATATCTTAAAAGAAAAACTCATCCACCTACACTAAATCTCCCCTGGAAGTATAGTGAACCTAATTTTAAGTTTAAAGCCTAGGATAGATTGAATAGGGGCTCATAGCGTCCTTCAGATTTCATTAAAGTTTTCCTAACCAATTTGGCAAATACTTAAGCTTTGAAAATATTCAATTCTGGCCGGTGCCACGGCTCAATAGGCTAATCCTCCGCCTGCGGCACCAGCACACCGGGTTCTAGTCCTGGTCGGGGTGCCGGATTCTGTCCCGGTTGCCCCTCTTCCAGGCCAGCTCTCTGCTGTGGCCCGGGAAGGCAGTGGAGGATGGCCCAGGTGCTTGGGCCCTGCACCCGCATGGGAGACCAGGAGAAGCACCTGGCTCCTGGCTTCGGATCAGTGCGCTGCGCCAGCCGCAGCGTGCCAGCCGCGGCGGCCATTGGAGGCTGAACCAACAGCAAAAGGAAGACCTTTCTCTCTCTCTCTCTCTCTCACTGTCCACTCTGCCTGTCAAAAAAAAAAAAAAAAATTCAATTCTAACTATAGTCACTACGACTCCACTATGAAGAAAATATTTCCATCTTACAGTCGAAAATAGGAGAGGATAGGCATAACGTTGGCACATCAGCTAACAAAATGAACAAAGTTAATGTTCATGGAATATTAGTAAACCTTAAGAAAGAAAAAACATTTTCAAAATACGAATCTTATCCTATTATGTTTTATTAGATTGTAGCTACCTAGATTATGGTTTCATTTTGATCACCAAACCACGTTAAGCCGTAAGGACCTTTTAAACCAAGAACCTTCGGAAATTGGTGACAGATAACACTGTTAAGTGGGCATTGGGAGTACTAATAAAATTATTTGTTGTTGACTCTGACATAAAGATAAAAAATTATAAAGCTTAATGCCTGAAATTTTCAGTTTGTTCAGTAGTAGGAATCTGAAAGAATCCAAGTTCTCTTTTTTTTTAAGATTTTTATTTATTTATTTGAAAGTCAGAGTTACACAGAGAAAGGAGAGGCAGAGAGAGAGAGAGGTCTTCCATTCGCTGGTTCACTCCCAATTGGCCGCAATGGACGGAGCTGCGCCGATCCGAAGCCGGGAGCCAGGAGCTTCTTCCGGGTCTCCCACGCGGGTGCAGGGCCCCTAGGACTTGAGCCATCTTCTACTGCTTTCCCAGGCCATAGCAGAGAGCTGGATCGGAAGAGGATGGGATGCCGGCACTTCCGGCCAGGGCGTTAACCTGCTGTGCCACAGCGCCGGCCCTCCAAGTTCTCTTGTGTAATATTATTTGGTGTAGTCATTTGCCCAAAAGGAAATGGGCTCTATATCTATAAATAGTACAAAGCAAACAAGAGTATTGATGTATTTAAGTTGATGTATTACTATACAAATATTACTTTTTCATATATTGCTGGAGCTATTCCATCCAGGAAGGAATTTCTGAAGCCTATTAAGGGCTCTCATATTAAATTCTGTTGATTGATCAGCACACGCAAAACAGAGGCAAGTGTCAGCTGATATATTTATCCAGTGCTCACTCAGTATGCCTGGGGATAGCTTTTAACTTGAAAAAAAAGTCTCATGCTGTTAAAAATGGAAAACTTCAACTCTTAGGGACAGTAATCTATATTCACATTAGATTAGGGAAGTGTTTCTGTGTCACAAAGAAACTTAAAGAACTACATGAACATGTGACCAATATGCTTTCAAAAAGCAAAAATATTTCCAGAGAAAACATAGCCTATCTGTAAGTAATTCATGTTCACTACAAGGAACATTTCTTTGGTAGCACTGGGGAGCACATTGTTTGCTGTGGAATTAATTCTACCCAAACGCTGAGTTTTCTAATTAGCAAATAATGTATATCATTGGTTGAAATACAAAGCTAAAAAGTTTCCCAGTCTCTCCCACTTAAAGTTCTCTGTGCAGTCAGAAACTTGACAGATTTTTTAAGGAACATTGTCCATGACAAGAGATACTACTATGACCAATTTGCTAATCATACTAGAAAGCTGAGGTTCGTTCTTCCATCTGATTTTAAGGCAGAGTAAACTCAATGGTGCTTGTTTGTATTCACCTTTTCTCTAATTCCACCCAGTTATTACCAAGAGGAGCAGAAAACTGGCAGAGTAATTATGATAACAGTATGTAATGTTTATTCAGCATTTCTGTCTAACCTGGCACCACGCCAGGGACTTGGTATTATTTTATTTGTCCTTGTCATATTTTCCCCAACTTCAGAAGGGAAACAGAGGTCTGTTACTGCACAGCTAGTAAATTAGTAGGGCCAGAACTGAAATCCCTGGGTGACACTGGTTAGTGTCCTTAAGTACTATCCTCAATGGTTAAGAATAATGTGTGTGAGTACTTGGTAGGTTTGGAGAAGGCCTTTTTTAATGCTAATCTTTGAAATCATCCTAAGCTTATATTAAAGGCTAGCCCAGCTTTTACTGTATTTACTTGTTAGGCTTCAGGAATATCATGTGATTGGTAATATATGCAAATCTTTTGGCAAGTAGTCCATGTGTTCTAACAGGTTTGACCATGCTATCAATTTATAACTCTTCTTAGAAACTTCCCTTTTGCCCAGTTTTCATTGTTTTTTTTTTTTTTAAATCACCAAATCGTGTTACTAATGTTGTGTTTTGGTTTGTTTTTTACAGTGATCCTTTTCTGTATGGCTGCCCTAATATTTCCAATAGGATTTTACATCAATGAAGTCGGAGGTCAACCTTATAAATTACCCAACAACACAGTAGTTGGGTCTTCATATGTACTTTTTGTCTTATCAATTTTCTTTACAATAGTAGGACTTCTATTTGCTGGCAAAGTTTGTTTACCAGGCTGATGAATGTCTAAGTTGCTTGAGTCTCTTATTATTTTTTATTTTTATTTTATTTTTTTATTTTTTGGAGGGTGGGGAGGACAAAGGCAAGGCATCTGAGCAGTCCTCTCGTGGGAAGATGCTTAGATGCACCCGATGCTGAAAGGAGAGAATGCTTTTGATTTGTTCTCACTATGCACTTTGGATTTAAAAAAAGAAAATGAGAGCCTTTTTCATAACCAAATACAGACAATGTTGACTAAATCTCCTGAGCATATTCAGGCAGTCAGGTCTGCACTGTGATAGCAACCTAGTGAAGGAGAATGCTTTATTCTGAAAAGCACGTGGCCCTTTGTGACTCTGTTGTTCCGTTTTAACGTCTAGTGATTCATTTGAGGAAAAAAAAGTCTAAGTATTTATGAATCAAGGTGGACCGGAGGGATGCAAGAGAAGTTCATGTGGGGCTGGCCTCACCTCCTAAAAATTAGTGTTCACAACTTCCTTGTCATGGTTTCAGCCTTTGGCACCAGAATGGATTGCCGTTGCATTACTGCACCAAGAAGCCAATAGATCAAAACTTGTCTGCTAAAATGTATGTAAAAATTCTGAAATTCCCTATTCTCTGTGTACAAAAAACAAAAATCAAACACTAAGACACATGTTGTTTGGGTGGGTGGGTGGGTGAAATCTTCCTTATATTTATATAAATATATATATAATATATATATTTTGCTGATGCAGTATACAGTGTGTATATATGTGTGTGTGTGTGTGTATGTGTGTGTAAATTTATATATGCACACATGCAAACAGTTCCTGGAAGAGAACTCTGAATGCTTTGCTAGCAAAACACTGTGGTGTGCAAACCTAGAACTCAGTAGAAAAAAAGCCATTTATCTGAAGGCTGCATAGTGGAGAGAGTCTTCAGTTTACCTCATTCTTTGTAGCAGCCCTTGATTTTAACAGGTTTTTGTAATAGGTACAAATAATCCCATGCCTTTCTAGGTGCAATTTTAAGTTAAGCTAAAAATTCTTTGTAGGGTTAATTTATTTGTATATGATAGTAGAAGGTAAGATCTTGTCAAACCTTATGATTTGGGGAACCTGACACTATTTAAATTATTGGCAGTTGTTGTCTATTGTACAGAGATTCATTTTTCTACTGGCTCGGTCTGTTACATTAATAATGCGTTTTATATGTTCAAGCACACAACTTTACATAAATACAAAGCTCACTAATAAATAGGCTATTTTTGGCATTTGCAACACTAATTTCACTCTGCCATAAAAGTTAAAACCTGTGTTCTTTTCATCTGTAAGCGCTATTAATACATGTCTACCAAAAACCTGAGCAATACAGTATTTTCTTTGTATGCTATCAGTATGCCTTTGTTTGCTAAAAAACTAAAATTTTTCATTTACTTTAAAGGGCTGTACTAAACCCACAGCTTTTAAGTTTTTTCCTAAAAGAAGCATTTCAGCTAACCCTTGAATTCAAATAGTTTAAAATGCAGTATTTCTCTTCTCCACATTTCCATGCCTTCATGTCAATGCTTAATTGTTTTTCCTGGTGAACTCTATAGAGAATCTCCTGTTGGAAATGTGGGGCAGGAAGGTGTTTTTTAGCCATGAAGCTAAGTTCTTCCTCTTCATAGTGAAATGGCAACCCAAATGTCCCTTCCAGTAGAATGAGAGTCCTGTGTAGCCCATGCTTCTCACAGGCAGAAGTGAGTGCACTGTTTAAGAAACTGCGCTATAATGTACGGAGCAGTCACTTTAGAGATGAGTCCTCCTCCTTAGATATTCAAAGTACAAAAAGGAGGAGTTTGATGTGTTTCACACTGGCTTGTTTGACACTCATCTATCTTACAGTTAATTCTGCAGTATTTTATTGTGAGAGAAAATCTCAGTGTTTTGGCTCACTGGGGAGTTGGGGAAAGAGGTGGACCCAGCCCTGTGGTGCATTCCTTGAGTGTTCTAGGGGAATATCATATTTTTCCTTGACAGTGTAAAAGAAGCCTTTGGGAAATCCTAAGGGAGACTATTTTTTCCCCAAGTATTATGATACCTAGTCAATTCTAAGAATACCACTGGACATGTGCTACCGACATTTGGGTTTGCATTTTCCATTTTGATTGGATTAGTCTTCAGTCAAATGGTTCACTTTGAAGGAAAGCTTTGGTTGTCACCATTATACCACTGAGATTAAGTGTTAGCAAAGTATGGTTTAAATTAATTCGTGATATGACCAAGAGCTTTTCTCTTCCAAAAGATGAATTTTATTGTAAATAGTTTCTCAAAATATTTTTTAACTGGATCATGAGCATGGGGAGAGAAAGTTTCTCAGCTGCTAAGAATTTCCCCACTGTTTACTTCCTTCACTTACGGTGGTATTGCATATAAGATTACTAAATTTAAGGTTTTATTTGTATCTATTACCCAAACCATTAAGTTGTCTTTATTTTCATCACCATCTTGGAGGTCCAGTGCCTAAAGGGCTGATGGGAGGGGAAAGCTCCCTGTAGCCAGTCAGCACTCTAACCCAGGATTGAAACCATCCCATCAGGTAGTATGTGAAGTCAAGTCTTTGTATTCTTCCAGACCAAACAATGAAATGGACTCATTCATATAAATTTCTATAAATCCTGTAAGTGAAAAACTAGACAACTGTTAGCAGTTGCTTTTAAAAAGGTCACTATAGTAAGTACCACATAGTACAGTATTAATTTATAGCAGGAAATCATATCTTGTAAACTGTATATAAAACACTGTTTTATGGTGCAATCATTTGTCAAAACTTGTCTGTTACATTGTTTTTTTAGAGTGTGTGCATTACTCTCATACCTAAGAATATCACTGTAAAATCTGCTGAAAACTATTTTTAGGTTTTATTTGCACAAGACTGAATTAGTTTGAAATTTTTGGAAGCTCCTATTGAACATGCCTAAACATCTATAAACATGAAAAATCTTCAGTTCATTAAAAGCAAATGTTTCAGTATGATTCTTTCCAAAGGTAATCCATGTTCTATGTTGTTAATGTGTGTATGTAATTCTTCTGACTCTCCCACCTCTTATAAATCTATTTTGTTTCATTTGTTTTGTTTTTGAAGGATGGCTCTTTTTTTGTTTCTTTTTAATGTTCTAGATGACCAAAACACTTTATTGGTTTTTACACGTTCACCTAAAACTTTGATATCCCCACTTGATGTTCTGTGAATTTACTAATATCTTAAATGAAATAATAAATGGTCCTGGTGACAAACAATCTATTGACTTAGAGGAGAGGCCATGAAAAAGTATTGGAAACTAACTTTGCGTTTACTCTTAGCTATTATTTCTGCATCGTGGGCTTCTTGGGAAGAACATGTTGCATTTATTTTGTCTTTATTGAAAGACTACTAGCCACAAGTTACTATCAGTGTAATAACCGTTTTATCAGCCCACTTTGATCTTCTTTTAAAAATTAAATTTACATTTCCAATTCAAAATAGTAAACTGTCTTTCAGAAAATTTTTGAAGGATAAAAATACATGAAGGAAAAAAGTGGCCTGTGTAGGTAGAATTCCTTACACAGGACTTTTAGTTGTATCACCTCAAGAGATTTTAAAGTTTGTGATCAAGGTCTGTATATTTTCCCAAACTTTATTAAGAATTGTTTTCTAATTGGTTATAACATTTTTCAATTAATAGTTTCAAAACAAATTGTTAATACAACTGTACAAAATGAACATAATTTTCTTCACTTGTATTTTTGTTATTGAGCAAGTTTATCAAAATAAATTGTCTACTAAAGAAACTAAAAATGCTTCTATTACTTTAAGCTTTTACTTGAAATTTCTTACAGAGGTTTCACATGTTCACACACTGACACTTCCAACACCTCTTGGATTATTGGTTTTGTTAGCATTGCATTGGGTGGTATAGGGGAGGGGTGGTTCTCCCCATCCCTTCTTCCATTCCCCCATCTTAGCTGACCTCTGGAGAAGAGATGCCATTAATATTCTAGGACGTCGATTAGGCCATGTTTACCAGTAAGAGTCACTAAGCAATAAAAGCCCACACGCATACACATGACTCTGTCTTTGGCATCTTGCTTTTGTAATCTCAGAGAAACTGCTCCAAGCTCCCTCAGGCCAGACGTTTTTCCTTCTTTCTTGAACAGAGACCTAAATCCATCTTTGCTTCAGTCTTCTGTTTCTACTTTACTGCAGGTCAAAGGATCTTAGCTTCTAAGATTTTTTTTTTAAGAAAGCCTTTATTTAATAAATATAAATTTCATAGGGATAGCTTTTGGAATATAGCAGTTACCAAGATCTTAAAATACGTATTACAGGAGCAGTATAGAGGCCTTCAGGTTTTAGACTTATCCATGTGCTGTATCACAGCTTTATCATACCTCTCTGGAGGTATCAAGATTAGCCTGATAGTAAAGTATTTCCCCTTTGATGCTCTTTCTTCCTGTGGCCTACCCAGGAGCCTCATGGGGAATTGAGGGATGAGGAAATGGTAAGAGTTAAATACGCCTGGGTGCTGGGAAGTAAGGGTGTCTTCTCAGTGTGCTCACCCATCCTGGTTTGCCTGAGACGGGTCCCCCAGGACATGGGAGTTTAGGTGCTGTTAACTGAGCTAAGACCAGATTAGTGACCCTTTATTCACACATCCAATCTTGTCCCAATTTATAACACAGAATAGAGGTATTTGAAGGGTTCCTATCTGTAAGCATTGATGAGTAGGTTGGTTGATATTATAATAGTAGACGTCTTTTGAGCTTGTAAGGGTAGGTAGAACACTTTCTCTCTTTGGTAATACCTTCAGAAAAGAGAACAGATGACTTTAAAAACAGTAACGTGAGTTCAAAAATACCTTGTTTTAATGGCCTTCCATCTACTCTGTTCTAGCCATTATTTGAAATGATTACAGGAAAAGCACAAAGATTGGAAGAGTATGGATTTCTTTTATGCATAGTCAACTTTTCTGGGTCACAGTTACCCAGCAACAAAATTAAGGTAGTTATTTATAAATTATATTAAAGATAGCATAATGTTACATTGTTTTTTAGAGTTTAGTGCTTTTCTCAGGAGAATAAAATAGTGTAAGATGATAATTTCAAGCACACTGGTTTTCACACATCAGCCCCAATTCCAGTCACAGGCTAAGACCACCTAAGATGAAATTTCAAGAAGATTTTTTCATGTCCCTCAAAAAATTTTAGAGGTAGATGGAATTTTGTAAAAGTATGTGTCCATTTTCCAGATAAAGGAATTGAGGCCTCTGAAAGGCACAATGACTTTGCCAAAGTCACACAGCTAGGTCTCAGCTGAGCCCTCAGCACAGCAAAGAATTTCATTGAAAAAAGAGCCTTGGACCTAGGAGAGGTGTCCATATCCTGTAACCATGTGCACCTGTCTTCCTTTAACTGATATCCATCCACTTTAGTCCATCCAAATTCTGCCAAAATAGTCACTGTAAAAGAAAGCATATGGGGCCAGCACCGAGGCTCACTTGGTTAATCCTCCGCCTGCGGCGCTGACATCCCATATGGGCGCCAGGTTCTAGTCCCGGTTGCTCCTCTTCCAGTCCAGCTCTCTGCTGTGACCCAGGAAGGCAGTGGAGGATGGCCCAAGTGCTTATGTCCCTGCAGCTGCATGGGAGACCAGGAGGAAGCAAATGGCTCCTGGCTTCAGATCGGTGCAGCGCCAGCCATAGCGGCCATTTGGGGAGTGAACCAATGGAAGGAAGACCTTTCTCTCGGTCCCTCTCACTGTCTATAACTCTGTCAAATTAAAAAAAATACAATTTTCTATTTTACAGTTCTTTCATCCCCACTGTCCATAGGATGAAGTCCAAAATCCTTTAAGTTGGCATTGAAAACTTCCTGATCTGGCTTCAAACTCTCTCCAGTCTTAATTTCCTACTGCTGTCTCTTCCCCTTTTACTGCCAACCAGCCCATTGCCCAGTATCTCACTACAGCTCATGGCTGTGTTGATACCACCTCCTCCTGCGGTTTTTCCTTAATCCTGCCCCACATTTGAAATGTATCTCATCTTTTGTACTTTGTGATTCTTTTGCTTCTGTCTCTCTAACAGAACTTACTAAAAGGAAATAGACTGCCTGGATTCACATCTCAATTCTACAGTTCCAGCTCCCTGAACCTTGGTTTTTTCATCTGTAGAATGGGGCCTGTCTTACAGGTTTATTGTTGATTTAAGTAAGGTAAAGAATCTGGCACATATTAAGCATTCAGATGTTAGTCACTGCTATTATTATTACTAAACATTTCTCTATAACTACGTTATAAACTCTGAAAGGCAAGGGATATGGCTTTCTCAAATTCCTTGAGACCTAGCACTGTATTTTACACATTGAATTGAATTCTAAAAATTAAATCTGGAGCTAGGTGATAAAAGGAAGTTATTAAACTGTATTTCCTGGAGATTTGAAAACCCCGGTCACCTATTTGGCAGAACTGTTTCCATGAAATTCTTCCCAAAGACAGAGGCTTGCCTAATTTACTGTTAAGTATTAGTTTAATATGTGAGTTTCATTGACCTCCTTAGGATTTCCCAGTGGACTCAAGAACCCTTACTACTGAATTCATAGCACTCCAATATTGCTTATACAGGGAGGACCAGGATGATGCAAGCACTCTGTTTATCCAGAGAGAACTCTCTGTAGGCTTTGTCAAGCTTGCGAGTTCTCTGCTGTCTTGAAGCCATACATTCGGTATGTTTTGCAAAGACTTGGTTCTGCCAAGATGGTTTTAATTATTTCTGCTAAAAGGAAGGGACTCAAACATTTGAACTCATTTTAAGATGTGATTGTCCCCAACTGGCCATTTTATGGCACTTGTGTAAATATTGCCAATGTATTTGGTCACTATTAAAGTGATCTCAGTTATCTGTCAGAGCAAGTCAGTAAAATAAATACTGTGTCTTTGGCACTCAGATTGTCTGAGACAATTCAGATATTTCCTTAAGAGCTCTGTTACATTCCTTTGTTCTCTATGATTTAGGCAAACACAGGTGAAGATCCAAAGAAAATCTTCATTCATTGATAAATTGCTAAATCCACAGATCTAAGAAATCTTAATTACCTTCTACATATTCTGGTAATTTAGTTTGTGAGTAGCAAAAGGCAATCTCACCCTTACCCACCTGCACAACTCTAATATGTTACCCCGTTTTTGCTTTCAGAGTCATCAGTGGCTTTCTTGTCCTAAGTCTGTTGTGGAGGAGAAAGTTATAATGACTCTAAACTGGACAGAAGGACTTCCTTTTTAAAATAATATATGTCTGTAAAAGTTTTTTAAAAAGCAAGAATACAAAAAATTAAAAGTTCCCTCCCCCCACAGTATAATTTCCAGATAATTAACAATTTATTGGGTATTCCAACAGACATTTCAGTGTTCACTTTTTTTTTTTTTTAAGAGGTAGATTTACAGACAGAGGGAGAGACAGAAAGGTCTTCCTTCTGTTGGTTCACTCCCCAGTTGGCCGCAACAGCCGGAGCTGCACCAGTCCTAAGACAGGAGCCAGGTGCTTCCTCCCAGTCTTCCACGTGGGTGCAGGGGCCCAAGCAGTTGGGCCGCCATCTGCTTTCCCACGCCATAGCAGAGAGCTGGATTGGAAGAGGAGCAGCCGGGACTAGAACTGGTGCTCATATGGGATGCCAGCGCCGCAGGTGGAGGGTTAACCTACTGCACCATGGCAGCCCCTCAGTGTTCACTCTTTTTTTTTTTTTTTGACAGAGTGGACAGTGAGAGAGAGAGACAGAGAGAAAGGTCTTCCTTTGCCGTTGGTTCACCCTCCAATGGCCGCTGTGGCCGGCGCACTGCGCTGATCTAAAGCCAGGAGCCAGGTGCTTCTCCTGGTCTCCCATGGGGTGCAGGGCCCAAGCACTTGGGCCATCCTCCACTGCACTCCCTGGCCACAGCAGAGAGCTGGCCTGGAAGAGGGGCAACCGGGACAGAATCCGGCGCCCCGACCGGGACTAGAACCCGGTGTGCCGGCGCCACTAGGCGGAGGATTAGCCTATTGAGCCGCAGTGCCGGCCTCAGTGTTCACTTTAACAAAAGCAAGATAATAGTTACAAACATACACACCACATTTCTTTATTTTTTAATAATTTTTGACAGCAATTTTTCTGTGTTAGTAAATACAGAGCTTCCTTATTTTTGGGTACATATATATACATCTATGCATACATATATACACACATGTAAAAATACAAGGACAATTAAAAAAGCTACTCTAAATGGAATTAACATTTTTTGATAATAAAACATTTTGAAATCCATGAACATTCACAATACACATTTTTCGTGAATTTTTGAAGACCCCTTATATGTATGAATTTCAAAATGTTTCTGCACCAAAGCAAACTTACCTCTTAATTTTACTTTCCACAGACTTTCTGAAGTACCCATATATATATAGATATAAATAGATGTATTCTTCGTATTTTATTGTACATTTGTCTCCAGATTTTTGCTATTACAAATGATGCTGCTATGAACTTAAAAAATTTCTCAAATAATCATGACAACTTGACATCATTATTGAGGCATATAAACCACTCTGTTAAGGCAATTCAAATTTTCAAAAGTGTTGTGATTAAATGAATAGTGACACTCAATAAGTTTAGAGAAATAAACATTAAATTTGTGTGCTACATGCTTTTCCACATGTCTTAATGAATCCTCTTCCTGTGAAGTAAGAGGTGGTATTTTATGGACCAGGAAGCTAAGGATCAAAAAGGTGAACAGCTTACCCAGTGGGGTTCTCTAGCTAATAACTGGTGAATCTAGATTTCAAACTTAGGTTCCCTGACTTGAGATCTAGGACTCCTGCTGTCCCACATTGTCAGTTTGGCTAGTCTAAAGGAAATAAAAATAGCTTGTCCCAGTTGCATGATTCCTTGGCTCAAACATGAGCAGCTAAATCTATGGTTTTCTTCTCTGGATGTGGAATGCAAATAACCATAAAAGCAGTCCCTACTTAAAAACAACTTGTGAATAATACCTACTTTGTTGACAGAAAGTAACAGTAAGAAAAAACTACTTAAGTTTGTGTTTAATCTTCCATCAATTCACCTCTCACTGTCAGGCCTTCTCTATTGATTTTACTGGGCCCTTGCAGGATTTGAGTTTGCAGGGAGATCTCCCTAAAGAAACTACTCCCTACCACTCTCCCATGGCATTTAAAAATCAAGCAGATCCCTCCTGCCATGTTGCTAGAAAATGTATTGGTTATTAGGGTACCATTAGGTTGTGCAGTGATCCATAGCTCAGAAATCAGGAAGGGCCCTCCAGTTGTTTGTCAGCTGTCTTCCCATCACTCCTGAGGCATCGGTTGTCCCAGAATGCTGCCGAAGTTTCTCTATGCCCATCCCACCTTGGAGCGTGATAAACTTTGTAGGGTTGGGAACTCCTATGCCTGTGGACTCTCCCTGGGTGCATCAAGGACCTGTTTCCTCTGGGTGTTACCATCTCACCACAGTGTCGCTTCTGTCAAGTGCTGAGCAGGCCTCTGCTCCCTTTGATTTTCAGATCTCTGACTTCTTGATGTCTACTTGGGAAAATATCCCCTTCTCTTTTACTTCCTTCAGAGGCATGTTTGCCTAGCACTTATGTCCCCTTCTTTGGATTTAAAAACAAAAGATTTTTTTTCTTTTGGAAAACTGCTCTTTTCCTACCTCCATGCCATATGGTTTCATGGGCTAATTTAACCTTCTGGTTCCAGAACTGGACACAAGCCACTTGGCCAATCAGATTCATCGTGATTGATTCAGGAGTAAGCATGGCATGTGATCAAACCAAACCTGGAACTTTGCTGGAATTTGAGGAAAACAGGTGTTCTTCCTTAAGGGTTGCTAATTATTAAGGGGAAAGTTTGATGCTGCTGATGTTCAGGTTTGTCAGATTAAGAGCTCACCTAAGAATCAAACCATCACAGAAAAAAAAGCTGAGAAATGGAGACAATTTTATTAACATTTTAGCCATTGTGTCTAGCCATGCCAGAAATCAGAGCTATTCCTGGACTTTTCTGTTATTTGAGCAAATAAACTTCTGTTTTTCCTTAAGCCAATTTGAGTTGGATTTCTGTTACTAACTGAAAGACTTCATACACTTGCACTTTCCTCTTGACATCAAACACATTCCTCACCTCCCCTACTTTGGCATGTCACTTTAATCTTTTAGTTAGCTTAGGGCTTTTACAAAAGACAAAAAGCTATTAACTTGAGGTTGCTTCCTCTCAACCCAAAGAAAAGCACCTGCTCCTACTTTGAAATGAAGGAAAGAAAGAAAAAAGCACAAATTGATATGTAAAAAAGGATATCCCACCGTTCTCCTGGGAAATGGGACCAAGTAAAAGCTCCTAAATATAAGAAGAGATGAGGCGATTCTGATCAGTCTCAGTATCTTAAGGTAAGAAATTCCTGTGTGCTCTGATACCTAATGGGGTTGGTTGATCATGGCCTATACTCAGGAGTGAGTTAAGAAAAGCAGTACCCATAGGTTTTTTTTGTTTTTGTTTTTGTTTGTTTTTTGTTGTTTTTTTTTTTGACTGGTCATCCAACCTGAAAGAGTTGCTCTGCTTTCTCCATCTGTAAGCCCAAGTAGAAGAAAGCAGTAGCAAAAGAGTGTTGGATCTTACTTGTAAAATGTTGAAAATCCATGTCTCCAGGGAGCCAAGAAAGTTGCCTGGAGCTCCAGTGACTCAGAAAAGAGTGTCTTAGGCTGAGTGTTGGGCATAAGCAGTTAAGATACTGCTTAGGTTGCTTGAATGCCTGGATTGGAGTCCTCCAGCTTGCTTCCAATTCCAGCTTCCGGCTAATGCACACCCTAGTATGCTTACCGACAATGGCTCAAGTACTTGGATCCCTGCCACACACGTGGGAGACCTGGACTGTTTCAGATTCCTGGTGTAGACCTAGCGCAGCCCCAGCTACTGTAGGCATTTGGGGAGTGAATCAGCGAATGGAAGATCTCTCTTCCTCTGTCCTTGTCTCTCTCAAATCTTTTTTTTTAATTGAAAGATGGTGTCTCAAAGCCCTTCCACCCAGAATTTCTATGGGGACACAATAGCCCTGACCTCTTATTCACACAGAAGCTGCTGGTTGCTTGAGGTTCTCTTAAGACTTAACCTCCCTCCTGGGTTTACATATGGCGCTTTCAGTCTGTGACTATCCCAGTGGTCAATAAGCAGTTTGTTTTGAGGGCTCATTGTTTTTCACCTGGCCTATGGGAACCACTGCTGGGTCTGTATCTGAAAGGGGTCTCTACCATTCGATGCAAATGTTCTAATTTATAAAACCAAAAAAAAGTTCAGAATGTGGAGATGAATTTGAGAAATGACTTAGATAAGAATAACTAAATGCAGATCCCTTAGCTGCTCACAAACCTCTCTCTTGACCTCTATAAAAGAGGGGGTTGGGAGGAACCCAACTGTGGGCCAGAGGACTAGTTACATCATAATCGCCTGGAGCAAATCACCTGTTAAAGATTCCTGTTCCCACACCTGACCACAATTCTGAATCAGCCTCCTGGATGGGAATGTCCTTATATTTTTTTAGCAACAACCCAGGTAATTGTGAAGGGCACCCAGCACCGACTGCAGTAGATCATCTTTTCTGATGCCAAGAGGTGGCTGAGCTTGTTGCTGTATTAGCCAGGCTCCGGTGGGGCTGGACCTGGTGGGGGTGGAGATTGTCAGACATCTCCCAGGGACTGTGTCTGGGGAACCCTCGGGGAATGAGGAGGAAAAGGTCACCACCTTCCAGACCCATCGGAGATTCTCCGGTGTCTCCTTTCCTCAGTTGCTGCCATGGGAAGGCAGCAGGCACCAGGGCTCTGCTGGCCCAAACCACAGTTCTCTGTTGACTCAGAGGTTCTGAAAACAGAAAAGAGGTCCAAATCCTGCTTCCAGGCTTTTGTGAGGGTGCAGAAAAGCAGAATGACCTGGCAGAGTTTGTTGTGTACAACAAAGTGGTAACTTCTTCCCTGGGGTGAGCGAGGTTTTCCCTTTCCCTGCTCCAAGCTGCAGTTGGTGCCGTCTGTTACCTTGGAGACCAGCTAACACTTCCTCTCAGGGCAAGCTCCTCTGTTGAGTTGCTTGGAAGCTTGGAGCAACTAGAAGTGGGAACCAGGAGAAACAGGGCCCTGTGGAAGCTGAAGCCCTTCTCCCAAAGACGGAGAAATAAATGAGGAAATGCAAGTGAGGGTGAGTGTCAAGAGGGTTGATGGGTGGGAAGAGAAAGGGTAGGGGCGGCCCGGATGCTAAGCTATGGACAGAGATTTAAGAAGCCTGACCTCAAAAGTATTTGCTCCATACACGTCAAGCATCGTACTGGGCATGTGACAGCAGCCGAGAAAGTAACGGAGCTGGGCAGGTAGACCGACCATGACAGCTCCATGTGAGACAGTAAGGGGACAGCAACAGGACTTCCACTAAAAGCAAAGTTGCCTCCATGGGGATTTGGGGGCAGTAAACTGGGTTTAGGAGGGACTTCCTGTGTTTTCTTGTCAGACAAAAGGGACAAAGAGTGTTCTGGAAGCAATACCAACTTAAGCAACTGCGGGTTATGAAATAGGTAGGTGTGTCTAAGTAGGAGTTGGCAGGGAGCAGAAAAGGCTGCGGGGTGAGGTGGAGAGGTTGGCAAGGAACGGATCCTGAAGCCTTGTGAAGAAGGGCCCGACCTCGTTACCCTACTGCACGGAGGAGCACGACAGGGTTCTGAACAGGTAGACATAGAAACAGCCCTGCACATTGGAAAAGTCATTCTGGAAGCATGGATTGGAATGATTGGATGGGGGTAAGACTAGAGGTGATTTTGCAGTTAAAAATACATACCCTGGGGATGGCTGTGTCCTGGATAAATATTTAGGAGAATCCTAAATCAGCTGTTAATCATCCAGGAAGTTAGCTGAAGGCTTTCTTTTACCCAATGATCAGAGGTCCCTCTTTTCCTTTGACCAAAATGCCATAAGCTGTGGGCCAGCGGTTTGTATGTTCTAGTCCCCTCCTCCAGTCACTCCCCCATGGTAATGTGGTCCCTCATTGCCTAAACTCTGGACCTGCCCTCAGAGTGTTCAGTACATATTCAATAAAAGCTTTTAGAGCCGCTACTATGATCTAGGCACTGTTTTATGCCGAAAGTTTCTAGCAGGGAACATGACCAGGTCCCTGCCCTCATGGAGCCTCTGGTGCGTCCGTGTGTGTGTCGGAGGGGCAGACAGTAAATGAGTAAATATGTAGAATACCAGATAGTGAATGGTAAAGCAGAGCGAGAGGGCTCCTATTTGACTTAAGGAATCAAAGAAGACCACTGCCATCAGGGTTCATTTGAGCGGAGGCCTGAGGCTAAGGGCTGCGTCCTGTCGTCCTGTTGCTGTCTCTGGTGGACACTCTATGAATGTTCATGGGATGAATGATTGCTTTCCTGTCCTTTGCTGATGTGGTTGAAGATGCCATGCTTTTTTTTTTTTTTTCTACAATAGTCCGCATTTCTATAGCACTTTGTGTTCTACAAAGCCCTTTTACAATCTCCGTTTCATTTGCTCCTCTGAACAATGGAGTTGAAGTGGGCAGGGCAGTCGCTGTGATCCCCATTCCACTCTGCAGAGGAAGAAACCAAAGATCCAGAGCTCTTGCCAGTGCCCCACACTGTTTCATTAGTTTTTATGCAGTTCATCCCCCACTCCTTCCAGACAAGCAGGCCTCTGAATGCATTAAGAACTGTTAATCACTTCCTGGAAAGAGGGAACCGAAACACTTCAGCGTGTCTGGTGTTCACGAGGCATTTCTGTCTCAACGGTCCGTGCTATTGGAGTCTTGCAGGCAAGTTAACTGAAGTAAAGCAGCCAGAGTTTTTTGTTTGTTTGTTTTTTGGACATTGCCATGTTAATCTGGTGCGTCCAAAAAACAAAGCATCCTCTGAATAAAAGATTAAAGACCCAAAAGAGAAAAGCAAGTTGCTGAACCATCATTAGCTTATTTAATTTAATGATTGCATAAGAGCACACAGTAAATTAACATTTAAGCTGCAGTTTCATTCAGAGGTTTTTTGTTTGTTTGTTTTTGTTTTTGTTTTTGCTGTATCTTAGCAAGGATTTTTGCTTGTTTTGGTTGCAAGCAATAACAATCTAAATGAGCTAGCTTACGCAAAAAGGTAGGGAGTTATCGGGAATGGAATATCTAGTGAAACCTAACAGCTAAAAGTGAAATCAGTTCTCGCAAGTGCCTTAGACAAATAATTAGAAATCCAAGAACCAAGGTAGCTTCCCCCCCCCTTTTTCTTCACCTCCCCTCCTCAGAGTGTTATTGAGTGCTGCTAGTCCTTGCTATCATCTAACTTACAGTGTAATGGGAGAGACACACCAATTTTTAAAAATCACAGTAATAAAAATATCCAAATTAAGTGCTCTAAAGAAAAGGAGCATCATTCTATAAAAGTCTTGTCTAAGGAGCCATACTGTGGCATAGTGGGTAAAGCTGCTGACTGCAGTGCCAGCATCCCATATAGGCACCTATTTGAGTCCCTGTTGCTCCACTTCCCACTTCTTTTTTTTTAAAGAATGATTTATTTTATTTGAAAGGCAGAGTTACAGAGAGGCAGAGAGAGAGAGAGAGAGAGGGAGAGAAAGAGAGAGGTCTTCCATCCACTGGTTTACTCCCCAGATGGCCGCAACAGCTAGAACTGTGCCGATCTGAAGCCAGGAACCAAGAGTTTCTTCCAGGTCTTCCAGGTCTCCCACACTGACTCAGGCCATTTCCCAGGCCATCGGCGCCCATATGGGATGCTGGCACTGCAGGCAGAGGCTTTACCCACTATGCCACAGCGCTGGCCCTGCTCTACTTCCAATCTAGCTTCCTGCTAATATGCCTGGGAAAGCAGCAGAAGATGGCCCAAGTGCTTGGGCCCCTGCACCCACATAGAAGACCTGGAGGAAGCTCCTGGCTCCTGGTTTGGCTTGCACCAGTCCTGGCTTTTGCTGCCATTTGGGGAGTGAACCAGTGAATGGAAGATCTCTCTGTCTCTCCCTATCTTTCTCTCTAATTCTGACTTAAAAATAAATAAATCTTTGAAGTCTGTCTAAAATAAAGGAACCTAAAATAGAATGGGATACTGGAGGTTTCCCAGGGGAAGCTGGAATATTCGGTATGGGTAGTATGAAGAAAGCACAGAAAGTTCTGGAACAAAGACAGGTGCATGTGAAAAGGCCCTGGGGCTAAAGAAACTGTAGCATTCCAGGAGCTGAAAATGAAGGGTTCTCAGGGGACACAGGAGAGGGTTGTGGTGAAGCAAAAAACCTAGAGGGGTAGGTGGGCAGTGACCAGATGACGTGGGGCCTCAGTTGTCACCATAGAGATCCTAGCCTTCATCTTATAAATAAAGGGAAGCCTTTGAACAATTTTAAGTGGGAAGAAGAAGGGGGTTGGGAGTACAACATTGGGTTTGTGTTTTTAAAAGCTTGACTTCAGTAGGGAGGGCAGATTGAAAGGGGTGTCTAAATGGGTGCAGGGAGGCCAGTTAGGGTCTGCTGCAGTGGTCTATGGCAGACATGACAGTGGCCTGCACTAGAGGAATGACAGTGAAGATAGGTAAGTGGAGAGACAGAGAGGTAAGATTAACAAGGGTAGGTGACGGATTGGAAATGGGGAATGAGAGTCAAGAATAACTCCTCGGTTTTGATTCAAGTAAGTGGTTTTTCTCCCTAAGCTAGAGAACAATGGAAATAGGATAGGTTTTGTAGCGAATAGGATGAGTTCAGTCTTGGAGATACTCAGTTTGAAGTTCTCCAAGTGGAAATATCCAGTGTCTATTAATTCACAGGCCTGGAGTCAGAGTGAGAGGTCTGGATTCTTGGTATGCAAGTCATTGATGGACAGATGGCCTGGGAAGAGGGGAGGAAGTGAGGAGAGAATAGTGAGCATGATTTACCCTCAAGTAACATCAACTTAGAATGTTCAGTGCAGGAAGATGTGCCCTCAGAGGAGACCAAGAAGGAAGAAGCCAGGAGAGAATGTTCCCATGGAAACTGAGGCAGGGAGACCATTCATTCCATTTTGCTGTGAAGATGGTATTTTTCTGAATATGCATGGTGACCACCTGCACTTAATCCCAAATTCCTTAGGGAGAGAATCTGATTGACCTGTCCTAGACTGTTGTCCAGCACTGACTCAATAAGGTGTGACTAGTAGAAGGACTTTCCATATAGGCATAGTTCTCAGAGAAAAGAACTCATTGCAAATTTGTCACTCTTCCCACCCTGCTTCTTAAAATCCCTATGGCCTGGCCAAACAGTCTTCTTGTCTATTCCTTGGATTAGACAAGTTCTTTCCCACCTCAGGAGTTTTGTTGTTGTTGTTGTTTGTCTGTTTGTTTTAGATTTATTTATTTATGTTGAAAATCAGAGTTAAATAGAATGAGAGAGAGCTTTCCAGCCACTAGTTCACTCCCCAGATGGTGGCAATGGCCAGTGCTGGGCCGGTCTGCAGCCAAGAGCCAGGAACTTCATCTGGGACTCCCACATGGGTGGCAGGGCCCAAACACTTGGGCCATTTTCACTGCTTTTCCCAGGCCATTAGCAGGGAGTTGGATTGGAAGTTGAATAGCCCAGACATGAACTGGCACCTATATGGGATGCCAGCATCACAGATGGACGCTTTACCCACTATGCCATAATGCCAGCCCCTCACTTCAGAGTCTTGACACTCATTGTCCCCTCTGCCTAGTCAAACCTTCACCATATTCTTTTTTTTTAATTTAAAACAATTATTTATTTATTATTTGTAAGGCAGAGAGAGGGAGCGAGAGGATCTTCTATCTGGTTGTTCACTCCACAGTGTTTGCAAGAGTAAGGGTTGGGACAAGCTGAAGTCGGGAGCCAGGTGCTCTATTCGAGTCTCCCATGTGGGTGGCAAGAACTCACATACTTGAGCCATTGTCTGCTGCTTTCCCAGGCACGTCACAGGGAGCTGGATAGGAAGTAGAGGAGCCAGGACTTGAATCTACCCTCCAGTATGGCATTCAGGCATCTAAAACAGCAGCTTAACTCACTGTGCCACAATGCCAGCCCCTTCACCATAATCTTAATGTGGCTACTTCATTTTTATCCTTCAAGGTCTGAGTCCAAATGACACTTACCCTGACCTCCTTACCTATGCAGAGTGGATCCCTTTCTTGATTATAATATCATCCTGATTCCTTCCTTCATAATTTCTTCTCCAATTTGTGATTACAGTCAGCCCTCAATATCCTTGGATTTTGCATCCATTGATTCAACCAACTATGGATGGGAAATATACAAATTATGTCTTATTGAACTTTTTTCCTTGTCACTATCCTCTAAACAACTTAGTATAACAACTGTGCATGGGCAAATACTATGCCATTTTATAGAAGGGATTTGAGCACCTGCAGATTTTGTTTTGCTTTTGGGGGAGGGTAGAGTCTTCAAGCCAATCCCCCTCTGATACTGAGTGTGGGGAGCAATCCGGACTGGACTAAGTTACTGGAATTAAGACTTATTCTATGCATCTGCTCTCCCACAATATGGCGCTGGGAGAGAAGTAAACAGCTTCTACACAGCTGCCTCCAGTTCAGCTAATAAACTGTAGGACTTGCTCCTGATTGGAGAGCAGCGTACTCAGCGTGTGGGCAGCCGAGTTAGGATTGGCGGAGGAGGACTATAAAGGAGGAGAGAGACGGCATGCACCAGGAACATCTAAGGGGAACACCTGTGCAGCCCCCCCAGAAAGCCGGCCGGCGGTGTGCCGCTCCCCTGCGGAAGTGGGGAATGTGGCCAGGGGGAACCGCCCTTCCACGGAGGTGGAAGGGATAGTAGCCAACCCGGGAAGAACCAGCAGCAAACCCGGGGAGGGCCGAGCAGACGAAAGAACAGCGCAGGGTCCTGTGTCGTTCCTCCACGAAGAGGGGGAGCGACAACTGAGGGGTGATTACTTTATTTAATGTTTTAGTATTAGTCTTTCCCTCTTAAATGATAGCTCCGTGAGGACAAGGACAATATCTGTCTCAGTGGGGATGCTTTTGCCCCCAGCAGACATTTGACAACGTCTGGAGACATCCTCATTTGTCACTGATAGGGAGGCTCCTCCTGGCATTAGTGAGTAGAGACCAGGGATGCTGTTAAACATTCTGCAATGCCCAGGATAGTCCTCACAGCAAAGAATTATGGGGTCAAAAGTGGCAAAGTTGAGAAAGCCTGGTCACTTGTTCATCACTGTATCTCAGCGCCAAAGCAGAAAGCCTGATAACCCAGTAGGTGTTTAATAAACACTTATTAAATTAATTAATTACAGTGGAGCTGATCTGGACAGTGATGACCTGCGAAGTGCTTATTGTCTACATGCTGCACTTACCCTCTTTTCTGGTGTTTTCTTTTCCACCCTAGGAAGATAAGCGTTGAGTGTTTTCACAATGGCTGCACAAACTAGTCATGTCTTCCATGGTCAAGAAAATAACTTTCTGGAGAATGATTGGTAAGCACGATCCTCTGATTTTGCAAAATAAAATGGCGACACCATTTTGCTCCTGCCGTAAGTGGGACTGGGTAAGTGGTCATTGCGATACCTTAGAGGACTTTGGTCACCTAACCACCAGGTCGGTATACCGAAATGTCTCATGAATGTGGAGTCCATATTTTATCAGGACTCTACAGGAATGCTTCCCATCACCACACAGAAATAAAAGTATTTCTGGAATCCTTCTGGGGACTAGGGGAGAGAAAAGAGGACTTTGGTAGTGTGAAGTCAGTGTTGAGGGCTGGGGCGTTGATCAAGTCACTTTGTTTTGTAGCATGAGGAGGAACACTGACAAAGATCCAAAGAAGCAGTTGAACCAGGAGACAATGAATGGACTTGGCCAAAATCCAGACGATGGACTACTGGTTACACATGTTAACCAGACACAGGACCTACTGGTAAAAACCACAGCACTCTCACGGAGTAGCAGCACTTCCAAATCAGTCAGGGACTGTGTCAAACTCTGGGTATTTTACTTTTTTTGAGACCTCAGAACTGAAAAGGATGAATTAGAATTCACTTCTAAATCCCTTTAGAAATGATTGAAAAATCTCTATACTCTTTATAGAATTTGTATAACCTTCTTGGTCACAATATTAAATATTGTGGAGCACATGAAGACTTTAATCATGTTATCGAAGTCTGAAACCTGAGCCATTTGATTCTAAAATCCCCCTTCCTGAGATTGTTATTCTTTTAAGATTCCCTAAAATCTAGATCTAGAAACCTATTTCAGGAGGTGTTGCTGGAACAAGAGTTAGGGCAAGGGAGTTAGCCTGCAGGATAACCAGACTGATTGTAGGCTGACTCTCAATGTGCACATGAGCGTTCTTCCCAAGAGAGTGAGTAGATTGTTTACAACTCAGAATTCATTCGGCCTTGGAAGCAGTTGTCAGGTGCAAGGCTAGCCCATAGCCATCTGCTAAACTGCACCGGAGTTCAAATATGATACCATTGAAATGAAAGGCAGGCCGGTGCTGTGGCTCACTAGGCTAATCCTCCACCTGCGGCGCCGGCACACCGGGTTCTAGTCCTGGTCGGGGCGCCGGATTCTGTCCCAGTTGCCCCTCTTCCAGGCCAGCTCTCTGCTGTGGCCCGGAAAGGCAGTGGAGGATGGCCCAAGTCCTTGGGCCCTGCACCCCATGGGAGACCAGGAGAAGCACCTGGCTCCTGCCTTTGGATCAGCGCGGTGCGCTGGCCGCAGCGTGCCAGCCGTGGCGGCCATTGGAGGGTGAACCAACAGCAAAAGGAAGACCTTTCTCTCTGTCTCTCTCTCTCACTATCCACTCTGCCTACCACTTTAGCATATAATCAGCAGCCCCTGCAGTCAAATCTCTAATGTGTTTAAGAGTACATATTGAACTATTAATAATACAGAGTCCTTGGGGCTGGCATTGCTGCTTAGCCTGTAGTGCCAGCATCCCATATGGGAGCCTGTTCGAGTCCCAGCTGCTCCACTTCCAATCCAGCTCCCTGCAAATATGCCTGGGAAAAGCAGCAGAAGATGGTCCATGTGCTTGGGCCCCTGCCAGCTGTGTGGGAGATCTGGAAGAAGCTCCTGGCTCCTGGCTCCTGGCTTCAGCTTGGCCCAGCCCTGGCTGATGTGGCCATCTGGCGAGAGAACTAGCAGATAGAATTCTGTGTGTGTGTGTGTGTGTCCATCTCCCTCTCTCTGTAACTCTAAATTTCAAATAAATTCTTAAAAATATAATTAAAAATATTATTTAAAATACAAAGTCCATGTGCTAAAACATGATAGATTGTGCAAATGCAAGAAAGATGGAGAGATGGTAAATTCTAAATGTATGGTGCTCAGTGTTACCAACCAGGGTGTTGACTGAGTCCTGAAGGGTGAGAAGAGTGACATCTAGTGTTCATAGGATGCACAGCAGTGTTTCCCCTAAGTATGGGGACAGGCACTATAGTTTTAGGCTGAGCTGTTCAAAGCCAGGACATCCTGTAACCCAGAACCACATAGTGAGGAAGTTACCTTCAGTCAGCCCTCTCTTGATCAGTCATGGAAACAGTACCATCCGGGTGCTAGTTTAGAGGGGCAACATATTGTCCTGGTTACTAGCATGGCTTGGGGTTTACAGCTGCCTTTGAGTCCCAGCTTCACCATTAGCCGTGTGGCTTTGAGCAAATTACTTAAAATCCTTGAGTGTCAGTTTCCTTTCAGCAAAATGGGGTTATGACAGGAGCTACTTAATAGAATTTTATTTTATTTTATTTTTTATTTATTTGATAGACAGTGAGAGAGAGAGACAGAGAGAAAGGTCTTCCTTCTGTTGGTTCTCTCCCGAAATGGCTGCTAAGGCCGGCGCTGCAGCAATCCAAAGCCAGGAGCCAGGTGCTTCCTCCTGGTCTCCCATGGGGTGCAGGGCCCAAGCACTTGGGCCATCCTCCACTGCACTCCCGGGCCACAGCAGAGAGCTGAACAGGAAGAGGAGCAACAGGGATTAGAACCCAGCACCCATATGGGATGCTGGCGCTGCAGGTGGAGGATTAACCAAGTGAGCCACGGCGCTAGCCCCTACTTAGTAGAATTAATTGAGTTACTATATGGAAACTGCTTGACATATAAGAAGTGCTATTCACATGTTTGCTGTAATTATGAGTGTGTTTTTTGCACCTCCTTAACACTTGCTAATTTCCTTTTGAAACAGAAAGGGGAAGAGCCTCAGGCACAGCACTTAAGGCTTTCTATATTCTCAGCTGGAACATAGTAACAGCATTTCTTTTTCGTTATCTTTGTTTTATGGTGACCTATTTATGACCACACCTGAGAGAGAAATAAAGACGGTTGCTGAGAACTGTTTATGCAGAAACATTCAAGGTTATGTTCTGTGCCCTTCACAGATCAAGAACAAGAGAGGCAACCCTGTGACAAAGCTGGTAAACAGGGAACCCCAGTGTGACGCACTTCCCTCTCCCTCTCTTTTTTTTTCTCCAAGGTACCCCAATCAGCTACAGCAGATAATTTTCTTTCCTTTTTTTTTTTTTTTAAGATTTGTTTATTTATGTGAGAGGCTAGTTACAGACAGAGAGAGGAAAAGAAAGAGAGAGAGAGAGAGAGAGAGAGATCCTCAATCTGCTGGTTCACTCCCCAAATGGCAGCAACGGCCAGAGCTGAGCCGATCAGAAGCCAGGAGCCAGGAGCTTCTTCTGGGTCTCCCATGTGAGTGCAGGGGCCCAAGCACTTGGGCCATCCTCTACTGCTTTCCCAGGCTATCAGCAGGGAGCTGTATGGGAAGTGGAGCAGCTGGGACAAGAACCGGTGCCCACGTGGGGTGCTGGCACCACAGGTGGATGCTTAACCTGTTACACCATAGCGCTGGCCCCTACAGCAGACAGTTTTCAACTTCTTGTCTGCCACCTCACCTACTTCAGTGAAAGCCCCGGCATACAGAAGCCCAAGAAGAGCCAACCCACTTAGGGTTCCAGCAGCTGTCCTGGAGACATCTTAGGATCCAGACTGGGGTCCCAGCAGGTGCCTAGGCCCATTCCGCAGTCATCAGATGCCGTAGGGTGAGGGTGTCTTTCATGGCGGGACTGAGATGATCTTCCCTTATGATGTCTGCCAATCCATATCCAAAGTGAGTCATGACCAAGGCCAGCAACATTTGAGACTCATCCACTCCACATAAATGACAGTGATTGCACTGGAAGCTCTTGTAGAATCCCTGTTGGACCCAGGCTTTGTATACCTTGCCAGCCTCTTCTCTTGTCATGCTACCCCATATTCACTACTGTCCAATGCAGTGGCCACCTTCTGTCCTCAGACACTCCAACCCCTGCCGGCATCCATGTCTGGCTGGAATGTGCACTCCTCACTAGCACAGAGCTGGCTCCTGCTTAATCTTCAGGACTCACTCAGCTCAGAAAGGCCTTCTCTGATACTCAGCCCATCAAAACTTGCCCCCCTTTTTCCAACCAAGTCATTTTCTATCACATGTCCCTGCTCTATTTTCTTGCTAGAGCCATTCCCTTCTGAAATTGCTCTGTACGTGGATTTTATTTCTTGTTTACTGTTCATCTCCTCACACGAGAGTGCAAGTTCTGAGAAAGCAAGACTATTTCTCTTTGTTCACATTACAGCTCTATCACCAGGGACAGTGCCTGGCTCATAATAAGGGCTCAGAAATGCCCATTGGAAGAAGAAAGAAATGCCAGCCTCTAGCACATTCAGAGCCTCAAATCAGGTCTCCCCACCTTCTGGCTTTCAGAAAACTTCTCCAGTGTCGAATGCTTGCCACACACAACTTCAGCTCCACCACAAGGCCACCACCTACATCCTGAGCTTAGCACTATGTATGTGGCACTGATGGCCCTAGATACTAGCAAGGGGGTGCAGTCCATTCATGACCAGACTCCATGGGGCCGGTGCCATGGCGCAGTAGGTTAATCCTCCACCTGCGGCACTGGCATCCCATATGGGCACCTGTTCTAGTCCCAGACTCCTGTGATGGCTGGCAAATTCTTCCTCTAAAACCCCCACCCACTGTTCCAAGCTCTGACCTCCACAATGGACCAAATAAACCCATTCCCTCTTCTCTCAGTTAGTCAGCAAGTGTTTGTTGGAGATCCCTTAGACTGATAAGGGGCACAGCTCAGGCACTGGAAAGGACCCAGCAAGTAAACAAAGACCACCTAAGGAGGACAACAGAGGCAGTTTATTCAGAACTTGCTATAGGAAAGGTGTCAGTCTCCATCACTTATGTTTAGCCGAAACTCAGAGGCAGGCAGGGGAGTGGGAAAGCTTTAACACCGAAAGAGAGAAGTCCTCAAGTATTATAGGAGGCTTACGAGGAGGCTAGAGGCAGGCTCATCAGAAGCAGTGTGGCTTAGGTGATTGGAGAAGTATTTAGCTTTCTCCAGTTGGTCCTGAGTTAGAAGTAGGGACCAAAAAAATAGGGAAGCTGGCTCACAATTACTGACCAAATCCTGGGCCAGTCTCTGCACAGTTGTGGGTCTGTTATCACATCACCTGGCCATTGGCTACCAGGGTAGATATGGTGAGTGGACTTTGACTTTTCTAGCTGCGGATTGCAGATGAGGTGAGAGGTGGGGAACGGATGGTCTTTCCAGGGCAACTGGCCCACAGGCCTCCATACTCACTCACGCCGGCAGCGAGGACAACTGGTTGACTACTTTAAGGTGGGATCATTCAGTGTTGGCAACTCCTGGGCGTCTGTGTGAAGTGAACCAAAGTATCCTTGTCCTCTTTCCACAGTTCCCTGTTTCACTCTGGCTTCTGTCTTGCAGAGGCTACAGGAGAGTAAGAACCAGTCTTCCACTTCTGAGGACTCCGAAGATTGGCTCTCGAGTCACAGTTTAGAGTTTGAGAAACTCACCTTGGCTGATCTGGTAAAGCAGGGCACAGCTGTGCTGTAAGTTGAAGCCATTGCCCCTCACCCGACAGCAGAGTGATATACTCAGGCCCGGGTCCGTGCGGCTGTCTCATAAGGCTTTGCTTCTTCAGGGAGGAAGGCAGCAACGTCATGCAGAAAATACGCTTCCCCACCCAGACCGTCTGCCATTTTGAATCAAAGCTTTCTGAGTAAGTACGTTTCTCAGTAACTTCCTAAAACCCAGAGCTCAAGAATGGCCTCATTTCAGCAGTCTGTGTCGCTCCCCCTCTTCGTGGAGGAACGACACAGGACCCTGCGCTGTTCTTTCGTCTGCTCGGCCCTCCCCGGGTTTGCTGCTGGTTCTTCCCGGGTTGGCTACTATCCCTTCCACCTCCGTGGAAGGGCAGTTCCCCCTGGCCACATTCCCCACTTCCGCAGGGGAGCGGCACACCGCCGGCCGGCTTTCTCGGGGGCTGCACAGGTGTTCCTTCAGCTAGATGTTCCCCATAGATGTTCCCGGTGCATGCCGTCTCTCTCCTCCTTTATAGTCCTCCTCCGCCAATCCCAACTCGGCTGCCCACACGCCGAGTACGCTGCTCTCCTCCAATCAGGAGCAAGTCCTACAGTTTATTAGCTGAACTGGAGGCAGCTGTGCGGAAGCTGTTTACTTCTCTCCCAGCGCCATATTGTGGGAGAGCAGATGCATAGAATAAGTCTTAATTCCAGTAACTCAGTCCAGTCCGGATTGCTCCCCACAGTCTGAAAGTAACTTTGTTCAAGCAGCAACATCTATAGGGTCTTCAGCAGTCCTGGTCCCACTTCCAGCCCCACCCTCACATTTTCTTAAACAATACGTCTGAAGGCTAGCGTTCAAGATGTCCACATCCCACATCATCTCACGCGGCGGGCCTGATTCTACCTCCTGACTCCAGCTTCCTGGGTACGGGTGACGACTTTCACTGTCACATTGGTTTGGTTCATAGCTTTCCAAATATATATCAGAATATGTGTGCGTTCCCACTCCTAAGCCAGATTTTTATAACATGTAAAGAAGCAAATTCATAAACATGTACACACAAATGTATCGCTTGATAATCACTAGGCAGGGCAGTCCTGCAGATTGCATCTCCATTGTGGCCATCTCTGATCCATAATTACTATTTGCCTGAGGTTCCTTCAAAGGTGATGATACTAATTAATAGCTAACATTTATCAGTGTGTCAGAAATTCTGGTAAGGGCTGCATGCCTCTTATTTGTTACAACCAAAAACCTTATATTATTCTTATATTATTTTCAAGCTAGTTAGCCAGAAGTCAATAGCTAATGACCATTTACAGAATGACCAATTTGCCAAATTTATCAAAATATTTTAAGTATAAATTCTGTAATTTTTATTGGGTTGGAAGGTTAAATAGGTTTTAAGGAATTCTGCAATGTTTTGTTGGATTACTTTTAACTGTGAATTCAGCATTTTAAGGAATGTTCAAGTCTATTTAGCTAATTGATATTGAGCAAATTGATTTTCAGAGAACTGACTTTCAGTAAATTGACTTTTGGCAAACTGACTTAAATAAGGTCTTGTCATTATCTTCATGTTGGAGATGATGAAACTGGGGCTCCCAGCTTACCCCAGCCGTCCGAGGTCACAGAGCTAGTAGAGGCAGAACTGCATCTCAACACAAGTGTGTCTCTTGATGAAGCTCCTCCTCTCAGCTCTATTCACACTCGGGCATCCCCTTTAACTGCCCACCACCCACTGCCCATGATTTCACTCTGACGGCCTTCCCTGCTCCTCTCTGGGCCCTCAAATCCCACATGGCCTCTGCAAGGACAAGTCACTCACTCTGAAGTGACAGAGTCCTTACCGTGAGCACCTGTTGCATGCCGGCCCCGGAATGTTTCTCAATAAGGGAAGATCAAGAAGTTCCCCAGGCTTCTTTTCAGAAACGAAGCTTTTTGTCAATCAGCCCTGTGAGAAACTACAGCAAACTGCCTCTGTTATGCCTTTAAGTCAGTCTCTAGGAGACTAGAAAGAGTTTCACCTGAGAAGTCACAGACCTAAGCAAGTACCAGAGTGTTCTTGTGCCATTTTCATCCTCCACACCTTGTCACAACAAACTGTAGTCATTTACAGTGTGTGTTGCATCCCTAACAGAACAGTGTCTACACACTCCATCCTTTTCACATTCCCTTTAGTATTTTACCTGGTGTCCTGGCAAAGCTGATGCCTTTAGTTTTTTCTTCGTTACACATTGCCTTAGACCCACTGGGGGAAAAAAAATGCAATCCACACTTTCCTTCCGTGATAGTAACTTGCTCAGCGAAGAAGCTGGCCTCGTGTGATGTTTTCTCTGGTGTTTTCACAGAGCCATTGAACTCTATCAACAGAGGCTTCAGTGGCTCACAGAAAGCAGCAATAAGGTAATAGATACAGATTGGTTCTTCGCTCCCTTTCACTGAGTCCATCTGTATGTGTCGGAACTCTGTTGCAGGTGCTAGAGCTCCATCTTAAATTGTCTTAAGCTAAAACAGAAATTACTTAAACTACGTTTATGAAAAACTCAAACATGGTTGCATCCCAGTGCTCAAATGGTGTCATCTCTTTGTCTCTGGGCTCTGCCTTCCCCTGAGTTGGTTTTGTTCTCGGAATGGCTGTCCCCGGGCTTGGGAGGTGCTCAGCAGCAGCTCAAAGTTTGCAGTCACCACCTAGATGACTTTAGTCAAAAGGGACATCACTTCCTGTTCCCTATCCACCCTCCCAGGTCCTGGGACTGGCCCTCATCAGACTAATTCAAACCAATCACCATAACCAAGGGGACGAAATATATTAACTGAGTTGGCCTGGAACTAGTGCTCACTCCTGGGAAAATAGAGGGGGGAGGTAAGTGGGAGGAGTCTGGGGAAGCAACCCCAAACTTCATGGACTGAAAAAGGGAGACAGGCAGTTAGTTGCACATGGAAAGCCAAAGGATATAATGGATATGTCTCTAATCTGTAAAGGACAAAAGCAGGGTTAGTTTTGTTTTGTTTTTGAATATCTATTTATTAAAAATTTATTTATATATTTGAAAGGTGGAGTTTGAGAAAGAGAGACAGAAACAGAGAGAGGGCTTCCATCTGCTGGCTCACTCCCCAGATGGCCACAGTGGCCAGGGTTGGACCAGGCTGAAGCCAGGAACTTGTAGCTTATTCCGTGTCTTCTACATGGGTGCAGCGGCCCCAACACTTGGGCCATCTTCCACTGCTTTCCCAGGTGCATTAGCAGGGAGCTGGATTCGAAGTACAGTAGCCAGGACCAGAACTGGCACCCATATGGGATGCCAGCACTGTAGATGGTGTCTTTACCCACTGTGCCACAGCACCAGCCCCCTATTTATTTATTTAAAAGACAGAGTTACAGAGAGGGAGAGAGGGAGAGACAGAAAGAGAGATCTTCCACCTACTGGTTCACTAGCCAAATGGCCGCAATGGCTGGAGCACAGCCCATCTGAGGTCAGGAGCCAGGAGATTCTTCCAGATCTCCCATGTGGGTTCAGGGGCCCAAGCACTTGGGCCGCTTTCCACTGCTTCCCCAGGCCATAGCAAAGAGCTGGATAAGAAATGAAGCAGCTGGGACTCAAACCAGCGCCCATACTGAAATGCCAGCAGCGCAGGCACCAGCTTTACCCGCTGTACTACAATGCCGGCCCCCAAAAGCAGAGTTTGTATGCTAGCGGCATGCAGACCAGCTCTGGCCCATAGCTGTGCTTTCCTTGGCCCTGTAGTTTGAAGTAATTTTTTGATTAGTTGCCCAGGTTTTAAAGTCCTGATATTTTGCTTTTATGTCTGCTTTCAGACTTCTCTTGAAAGCCGAGAATATCTGGTATCACTGGGCTCCAGTTCCATCTTCATACTTGTCCAATTACTTCCATAGGATAAATTCCTAGAATTTCAATGGCTCGGTTTAAGGGAACGCATGTTTTCAATTTCAAAAGCCATCAAGCTCCATGAGCAGCTTTTTTAAATTGTAAGAGGAATATCACTGGCTCTAAATTTCAACTTCTTCTGGCCCCCAGGAACTGGCAATGTCCTGGGAAACTTTTTCATTTGGGTCGTGAATTCAACAACTATTTATTAGGTGCTTACTTCTTAGCTGGCTCTGTTCTAGGATTGTGGGTACAAACATGAACAATGAAGAGGTCCTGCCTCTGTGGAACTGACAGTCCAGTGAGGAGGGACAATGAATAAATTAACAAATAATTTACACTGGCCCTCGGCATCATGCATTGGTTCTATATCCTCAAATCCAACTGACCATGGGTCAGAAATGTTTGAAAAAAAAATTGTATCTGTACATACAGCCTTTTTTCTTGTCACTGTTCCCTGAAGGATACAATACAGCAACCATTTACATAGCATTTACATTGTACTAGGTATTAGAAGTAATCTAGAGATGGTTTGAAGTGCATGGGAGGATATACATAGGTTATTTGCAAATGCTGTGCAAGAGTTACAGAAAGAGAGAAAGTGAGAGAGAGAGAGGGAGGTCTTCCATCCTCTGGTTCACTCCCCAAATGGCTGCAATCACCAGAGCTGGCTGATGCAAAGCCAGGAGCCAGGAACTTCTTCTGGGTCTCCCACGTGCATGCAGGGCCCAAGCACTTTGGCCATCCTCTACTGCTTTCCTAGGCCATCAGTAGGGAGCTAGATGGGAAGTGGAACAGCTGGGACTTGAACTGGCACCCATATGGGATGCCAGTGCCACAGGTGCCAGTCCCATACTGTGCCATTGTTATAAGGGATATCGGTGGATCTTGGTATCTGGTGGGATTTTGGAATCTGAAATAAATCTCTTGTGGGTACCAAGGGATGACTGTACAAGGTCAGTGAGTGATAGTGCTCTAAAGAAAAATAAAACAGGGTGAGAGAGTAGAAGAAATAGAAGGAGGGCTACCAAAATGGTCGAGAAAACTCCTTCTGAGGAAGAAACATTGGAAAACACAGCTAAATGAAGCAGGGAAATGAGCCAGGCTGGGATCTAGAGGAGAATGTTCTAGAAAGAGGAAATAGCCAATGCAAAGGTCCTGAGACAGAAACGAGGTTGGCACCTTCGAAGCAGCAGGCAGGCCAGCATGGCAGGCTAACGTGAGTAATATGGACAGTGGAGGTGATGAGGTGAGGTGGGCAGGTTCAGACTAGAAAGGATCTTGCAGAGTCTGGGTTTGATGCCAGAAGACAGGGTTTAAGCAGAGGAGTGATGTGATGTGACAAGTTTCCAAAGGACCCTTCCAGCTGCACAGATGGACCATGGACAACCGAGACAGAAGCAGACGGTAGGTGAGAAGGATAGGAGCTTTTCTTTTTCAAGATGGGCAATGGTGTAGCCTATCGGTATGGTGATGGAGACTGTGTGATACGTAAGGAGTAACTGATGTTCCAATAGAAGGGATGAGGGCAGTGGTAAAGTCCCTATTTGACAAGAGAAGATCCAGTAACACAAATCAAAGTACTGGCCTCAGAGCATAGATGTTGGCCTCAGATGCATTGTAACCAGGTAGGTTGCTTGATTCTGCACATGAAAAATTGTTTAAAATTGCTTCTTTGGATTATTTCTGTTTTCTCAGTAAAACTGGAGGCAAAAATCATTTGCTGAGAGAGTGCATAAAGGAAATGTTGGAGATATGGGAGATGTAAAACACTCATCTCTGAGAGCAGAAGAGTGAATTGAACAGGAAAATTAAGATCCCATTAAGTAGTAGAATTTAAGGCAAAAAGCATCCAGTGGAACCTCCTGCCCCTAGCCAGCCTTCAATTTCACATGAACGAAAGTTCCGATTCCCAGTGGAGCTGTAACAAGATGAACACTTAGGGACAGAATCAAACAGCACTGACAGGTATCTAGTAGTAGGTGTTAAAAACACAATTAGAGGGGCTGGCACCATGGCTCACTTGGTTAATCCTCTGCCTGTGGCACCGGCATCCCATATGGGTGCCGGGTTCTAATCTCAGTTGCTCCTTTTCCAGTCCAGCTCTCTGCTGGTGGCCCAGGAGGGCAGTGGAGGATGGCCCAAGTGCTTTCTCCCTCTCTCTCTCTCTCTCTCTCTCACTGTCTATAACTCTACCTGTCAAATGAAAAACAAACCAATACAAAAACACAATTAGAGGGGCTGGCTCTGTGGCGCAGCAGGTAAAGCTGCTGCCTGTAGTGCCGGCATCCCATATGGGCACCAATTCAGGTCCCGGCTGCTCCACTTCCAGTCCAGCTCTCTGCTGTGGCCTGGGAAAATGGTAGAAGATGGCACAAGTCCTTGGGCCCCTGCACCGCGTGGGAGACCTGGAGGAAGCTCCTGGCTCCTGGCTTTGGATTGGCCCAGCTCTTGACATTGAGGCCATCTGGGGAGTGAACCAGTGGATGGAAGACCTCTCTCTCTCTCGCTCACTCTGCCTTTCAAATAAGTAAATAATTTTTTTTAAAAGAACACAATTAGAAACTCACAGAAATGTCACTACAGCTGATAGGCTCAATACATCTGCCTTTGATTGGTAAAGCAGGCTAGAAATAAATAGGAATATAGAAAAATAAAATAAGACAAGCAAATATCATTAGGTATCTTGCAAACAAAGGGTGCTTTTCTGTAACCTCCAGGTTTTCTGTAATGAATGTGTAAATTACTTTATAAATGTGGACAATAAATATTAAAAAAAGCATTTAAAATTAGGCTCCCACAGTATGGGATCAGGCAATGCCCAGAGTTGAATTCAGCACGTTGGGTTGAAGGGAGTACTTGCACCTCTGCACCGTGCCAAGCTGCTTGGTGCCCAGCCTTGCAGGAGCACAAAGCCACTCTGGTTGTTTGCAAATTGCCCTCTTTGGTTTTAGGCATTCGGCCTCATCAAAGGGGCCAAAGTAGGCATCCTCATTGACACATCGGCAGTCGGCAGTGGCCCTCAGAGAGAGCAGTTCCAGAGTGACCTCGTGGTGAGTTTCTCTGGCACAGAGAAGTATTTGGAATCACCATACCACTCCCACTGTCCCCCAACACCAGCTTGCTAACTGGGTTTGTTGATAGCAAATGCAAAATAGGGTGTTTTCATAAAGAACAGTGCCCCTGTAATTAGCACCTGTGTTAAAGAAATGAGTTCCGTGAATCCCAACTGCAGGTTGCAGTGTAAACCTCTAGTATTCAACCAGGCCTGGCCTCCCTGCAAAGAGGATGTGAAGACAGCACTTGGCTGGAGGCTGGCTCCACCGAGCAGAGCACAGGGTTTCTGGCCTCCTCTGGCTTCCTTGGCACATCCATAATGGAAACTAAGAACTCTGGAGACAGGTCCTCGCCACCTCCACCATGTCTGCACTGTGGGACTTAATCTCCCTGTGCCTCAGTTATACCCTTCTGTAAAATGGGTATAATAGCAATAAGGTTGCCGTGAGAATGAAAGGCATTTGTGTAAGTGAAGTGCTCTGTGCACAGTCTAGCATAGAGAGTAGCCTGCGTCTCTGTGAGTGATGTGGAGTGGCTGCTTTATTATGGGAATCGTAGAGTTTGGGATGGGGAGCTCAGACAGCCCCAGTAGCTATTCCTATAAAGGTCTGCCAGAGCCTCTATGAGGCTCCATATGGGCCAGTCGTCCAGACTCGTACCCCATTCCTGGTCTCGATGGTGGGGCAGGGGGCACCCCTTCATGACAAGTCCTCGGGGCCAAGGTGGGCTGGTCTCCTATTAACCAGGCCAAAGTTGGTGTCAGTAGCATACAGGTGAAATTTCTAGCTGGCCAGGAAGAAGGGGGAGGAGTTGTGCTTCCTGCTGGATACTCCCCAGTGGCAGCTCAGGGACCCTGAACTGGCTGATATCGTGCCCACTGTTCCACCCCCAGCTCACATGCCTTGGAGAGAAACCACTGCCCCGACCTCTGTCTTCCCCCTGTGGTGCCAGGGTAGTTAAATGCCAGGGGTCCAGCCTTAGCACCTGTGGAGACGGACAGCCAAGATGCTCGTGAGACCCAACGAGGGGAAGCAAATGTCAACTTAGGGCAGGTTGCTCAGCTGGCCATCAAGCGTCCCGGTCTCAGCCCAGCGGGGCCAGCCAGGGTGAGAAAGGTGAAGCAAGGCTGCACGTGACCCCTGGCTCTGGGAGCCAGTGATGTCCTTTTGCCCAGCAGAGCCTCATTGACGAGCAGCTGAGCCACAAGGAGAAGCTGTATGTCCTGTCCTTCGGCACCACCACCAGCTCCCTCTGGCCAGACCCAGTGGAAGTCAGCGCCTCCACGTGAGTGGCTGCCCAGCCTCCTCCAGGGGGTCTACTTGTTCGTTTTCCTTCCCAAGCGCCAGGGTCTTTGCTGAATGATTAAGGCCGCTCTAGCCTTGAATCCCAAGGCTGACGGTCCCTGGGCTACCTCAACAAGTCCGTTAACTCTCATCTGCAAAGGGAGGCAAGTGATGCCTGCTCCTTACAGAGCTGTTGTGAAGAGGAAGTGAAAATTAAGTGCCTGACACCTGTCAAGAACTCAGTGAATCTGAGCATTGTTTACCCTGATTCCACTGAAGTTGCACAGCCGATCTCCAGGATGTTACCTTGACATTGCCTGGCCAGAAGTTCAGCTTCAGTTGTTTCTGGACTTCCCTTGTCACATCTCTCTCATATCTCTGCCTTGTGTACTATTACTTACTCTCTGCAACTTGTACTATTGTGATTTTATCTTTATATCAACTCTATTATTTTTGAAAGGTTTATTTAGTTAGTTAGTTTAAAACGAAGAGAGAGAGAGAGGTCTTCCCGTCTACTGGTTCATTCCCCAAATGGCCAAAATGGCAGGGGCTGGCCAGGCTGGAGCCAGGAGCCTAAAAGTTTATCCAGGTCTCTCGCATGGGTGACAGGGGCCCAAGCACTTGGGTCATCTTTTGTTCCTTTCCCAGGTACATTAGCAGAGAGCTGGATCAGAAGTGGAGCAGCCACGACTCAAATTAGCATTTATGGGATGCTGGTGTTGCAGGTGGTGGCTCAACCTGTGTGACACAGTGCTGGCTCCTCTGTCTATTATTGAAGGGAATTTTCTACCAGTATTAATAATTGAGAAGTCCACATCACTTGCCATAATTAGAAAACAGCCATGAAAAAATTAAATTCAATGAAAGTAAAGCAATGATGTTAAATTCCTGCTTGAAACCTATCGGCTGGAAAGGCACCAGGCACCAGGCCTTCTTGCTGTTCAAAAGGGAACTTAGACAGTTCCGATAATGAGAGAGACAGACACATTCTCACCAAGCTGAGATTTCCTTTTTGTCTGGCTGGAAGAGAAGTGGAGAGAGCAGAACTGTTTGACTAGTGTCCTGTAAGATATTTATCCAAGGACTGAATTAAGAAATTTTCCTGGGGTCAGCTTTGTGATGCAGTGGGCTGAGCCATCTCCTGCACTGCCGGTGCATCACATATGGATGCTGGTTCAAGTCCCGGCTGCTCCACTTCTGATCCAGCCCCCTACTGATGCTTCTGGAAAAGCAGAGGAAGATGGCCCAAGTCCTGGGCCCCAACAGCCACGTGGAAAACCTATAAGAAGCTCCTGGCTTCGGTCTGGCATAACCCAGGCCATTGTGGCCATTTAGGGGAGTGAACCAGCAGGTGGAAGATCTCTCTCCTCTCTTCTCTCTCTCCATAATGCAGCCTTTCAAATAAATAAATAAATAATTTTTAAAAACCAGAAATTTTCCTTCTACCAGTAGTATATATCCCAGATGGCATGAGACAGAGCCATGGAGCCATGCTGTCTTCTCTTAGAACTCTGCAAGTGTTAGGAAGTTAACTGTATGATTCACACTGAAGTCTGGCTCCCAGCAGAGTTGGCGGGGTGTGTGAGGGAAGAAAGGACTCAGCCCCAGAGCCTCAAACAGCAGAGACACTGAAATCTCAGGGTCTGAAGTTGATCTGGTTTAGAATCAGTTTCACGGCCGGCGCCGCGGCTCACTAGGCTAATCCTCCACCTTGCGGCGCTGGCACACTGGATTCTAGTCCCATTCCGGGCGCCAGATTCTGTCCCGGTTGCGCCTCTTCCAGGCCAGCTCTCTGCTGTGGCCAGGGAGTGCAGTGAAGGATGGCCCAAGTGCTTGGGCCCTGCACCCCATGGGAGACCAGGAGAAGCACCTGGCTCCTGGCTTCGATCAGCGCGGTGCGCCGGCAGCAGTGTGCTGGCCGCGCTGGCCATTGGAGGGTGAACCAACGGCAAAAGGAAGACTTTTCTCTCTGTTTCTCTCTCTCTCTCACTGTCTAACTCCGCCTGTCAAAAAAAAAAAAAAAAGAGAGAGAGAGAGAGAATCCGTTTTACTAGTTGCTTACAGCGTCATCTTAGGTAATCCTAACTCAGAGCCCTAAAGATACCCACCTTAAAGAATTACTGTTAGGCCTTAGTGAGTTAATGTCACCCCGGACCTGGAACCTGGTCAGAGAACTACAGTGAGCATCCTGCTGGTGTCTCCTCCCAGCCTCCAGGAACTCAAGCTCTGGGTCAAGAAACTGCAGCCCGAGGGAGGCAGCAATTTGCTACAAGCCCTGAAGAAAGTCTTCACTCTGAAGGAGCTGAATTCTCTAGTGACCATCATGGGCAGCTGGTAGGTCTCCTTTCCTAAGCAGGTATCAGACTACATGAAGGGGGCATTGTAGAATCAAACCACGGTTTGATCAAAGATCAGCAAACAGAGCTCTTCACACTTGAAACAAGAATCGTGTTCACAGACGGGTGAGACAGGGCAGCCAGGGCCAGCCAGGCCTGCAGTCCACCCCACCCTGCATCTTACTACACAGGTGACCTGGGACACAGTGGTCAGTTTAGAATGGACAGATAGTCCCTGGAATTACCATTTTTCTCTGGAATGTTCTCAGAGTGGCTTGACCCCAAGTGCCCACTTCTTTTCTGTCTCCTCCCCAGCCCCGATCAGCCTTCTGAAATCCTGTCTGACTACATCCAACAGGCCACGATGGGAAGGGGCCTCTTCATCCATGTTGTTACCTACAAATGTGATGGTCAACTGCCCCCTGTAAGTACTTGAGTTTCTCCAAGGTTCCTCTTGGGTTTGGCGATATGAGTTTGGTCAGCCTTCAGGAATCCATGCCAGGTCAGCCCCTCTAATGCATGGTCCAGAACATCCCTCTACTGAACCAGGTTCTCCCGTTAGGAAAAAGGGAAGCATTAGCCAGTTGGAAGGTGCCGGCAAAGAGAAGGCTTGTGAGAGTACTGGGGTGGCCCTGGAGAGGCTGACGCTGTCCCCATCCCCGCAGGCTGTCCTGAAGAACCTTGCAGAAGCCCTTGGAGGCTGCTACCACTGCTACAGCGTGGAGACAGAGGTAAGCCCTTCTGCCCACACACTGTCCCACTCCTTCCCCTCGGCCTGCCTGCAAGGCTGTGCCCAGGGAATGTGGGCCAGGACAGACCACGTGTGTACTTGTTCCACCCACACCCAGTGTGTAAAATCAAGTTCAAATGTGTGGAGGATCCAGGACAGCCTGAACTTACAAGGACTCCTTTGGTCAGCAGACTGCATGATGAGCTGACTGCATGCCTGTGAGCTTGAGTCCGAGGCCTTGCAACGCCTGGCACCAGACTTCTTGGTCACAGCTGCCGTTCACAGAGGCCTTGGGCTTCCTTTGCTCCCCCAAAGTACTGAGTTTGAAATGGTCGCCTCCATTGTCTCTCCTAGAGAGATCCCTGCAACAGCACCCATGGCAGGGCAGATCAAACAGGCACTTCTGTACCAATCCGTCCGTTAGTGTCCTTGTCCCAGTTAGTAACTAAATATCATCCACCCCAGTCACAATGAAGGTAGCGATTAGCAAACGTGCGTAGACCCATTTGGCAGATGGAGAATCCAACCACCTGTTCGGCTGTGCCTGTTAATAATTATAAGGAAATAAGTGTGTTCAAGCGTCCCAGAGTCCAACATTTCATTCCAGGGCACTGATACCCAGTTGCCTAGACTCCTTTTGTAGGTGCCACAGACTGCAGGGGCTAGGAAGTGAAATAAATGAAGGGGACTGGCTGGTTAAGAAATACTTTATCTGGGATGGGTGTTGGCACAGCAGTTAAGACACCACTTGGAATGCCCACATCCAGTACTGAGGCCTGGCTCCTCCACTTGAGACTCCACTGCCTCCTTCTAATGGGCACCCTGGGAGGCAGCAGGTGGTGGCTCAAGTAGTTGGGTCCCTGCCACCCATGTGGGAGACCCGGATGGAGTTCCAGGCTCCTGACTTTAGCCTGGCCCAGCCCCTGCAGCTAGGGCATTTGGGAAGTGAACCAGTGGATCTATGATCTCTCTGTCAGTTTCTCTCTCTCTCTCTCATTTTCAAGTGAAATGAAAATAAATAAATTTAAATGTTTACAAATACTTTGCCTTAAAAGCTAGGGCCCTCCCCTCTTGATTTAACTCTTGTTTTTCCACTCTGGATGGAGAGATGTGAGATTGTCTTCTTTGATGTGAGGGAAACAAACTGTACAACGATGACAAAAATTCCAGCTGATGCTCTGATGGGAGCAACAGAGAGTCTAGGGACTGTGGCAGCCCAGAAGCCCCTGGCCCATCTAAAGCCTCAGCTGACCACTGCTCTGTAGGATGTAGTCTTGGTGTTACCAGGTCCTCTAATTTTTCAACAGGAGTCAGAAATCTGGTATATGTGTGTGTGTTTTTTCTTTTTAAATAACATAAAATTTACATAACATGAAATTAACACTAAATTAGCTAACCAGTGACTTTTAGTGAAAAACAAAACAGTGACTGGTAGCACAATCAGAGTTGCACAATCCCTACCTTTTTTCTGAGTTCCAAAACATCTTCATCACCTAACAGAAGGCCCTGTACCCATAAAGCAGTTACTCCCATTTCTCTTTCCCCCAACCCCCGGCAATCACTAATCTGCTTTCTGCCGATATGGATTTGCCTGTTCTGTGTATTTCACTTAAATGAAATCATGTACACTTTGTGTCTGTCACCTTTTGCTGTCATGATGTTTTCAAGGTTCACCATGTGATAGTATGAGTCGGAACTTTATTCCTTTTTATGGTTAGAAACCGTTCCATTGTCTAGATGCACCATGTGTTGTTTATCCATTCATCTGTTGATGGACAGTTGGGTTGTTTCTACCTTTGGGCTATTGTGAACAATATGTGAATGTCAGAGTCCCTGTTTTCAGTTATTTGGAGTGTATAACTAAAGTAGAACTGCTATATCGATTCTGTGTTTAATCTTTTTAAGGTTTATTTATTTATTTGAAAGGCAGAGAGAGAGAGAGAGCGAGCAAGGGAGATAAATAGAGATAAGAGATAAAGATAGAGATAGATAGAAAGAGAGTGTGTGTCCTCCATCCATTGGTTACTACCCAAATACTGTAGCAACTACAGCTGGGCCAGGCTGAAGCCAAGAGCCTAGTACTCCATCTGGGTCCCCTACATGGGTGGCAGGGGCCCAAGCACTTGGGCCATCATCTACTGCTTTTCCAGGTGTGTTAACAGGGAGCTGGATCAGAAGTGGAGCAACCAGGTACACCGATATGGGATGCTTGTGTTGCAGGTGGGGGCTTAACCTGCCGTGCCACAATGCTGACCCCTGTGTTTTAAGTTTCTAAGGAACCCTCAAACTGTTTCTGCAACAGCTGCACCATTTTACATTCCTACCAGCGCTGTTCAAGGATTCTAATTCTCTACATCGTCACCAGCACTTGCTATTTTCAATTTTTTATTATCATTTTTAAAAAAATGATTTAAAAGGCAGAGAAACAGAGAAAGAGGGAGAGACCCAGACTCTCCACTAGTTCACTCCCCCAAATGTCTGCAACAGCTAGGACTGGGCAGGGCCGAAGTCAGGAGCCAGGATCTCAATCTGGGTCTCCCATGTGGGTAGCAGGAACTCAGCTACTTTAACCATCACTTGCTCTCTCCCAGGGTGAGCATTAGCAGGAAGTAGAACTGGGAGCAGAGCCAGACCTTGAACCCAGATGTTCTGATATGGGATATGGGCATCACAAGCAGTGTCTTAACCTCTAGGCCAAACACTTGCCTCTAAATTATCACTACAGCCACCCTATGTAAAGTATTTCTTTGCATTTATAAAGTTAGAGAAACCTTCAACCATTCAAAAATCCCAAAGGTCAGTACTGTACAAATGGAACAAAATGTGTTTCCAGGCTGTGTCTGGTACCTGGACCCCAGTTATAACGCCTGGTGTGTGCAGTCTGCCACTCAGTTCTGGGAACTGACTTGGCTGCTTGCTCTTTCTGCCTTGGCCACTGGTAGCCAAATAACCGCTAGATGGCTGTTTGCTCCCACCACCCTCAGCTCTGTGCCAGCCGGGAAGTGGATGAGCTCCTGGCAGAAATGCAAAAGGCCCAGAGCCTCCTCAGCCACATCCAAGCCCTGCGCCAGAGCAGTCCGTGTGAGGAGCTAACCTGCATGCCCAAGCAGGTAGGCGGTGCGCAGGTACCTGAAGTGAGGGCTTTACTGTAGTGTGTTCGGAGCCAACCTCTTAGAACTTCCGTTTCTCACCTTGTAAGAGGGGGTTGGGGGGAGGAGGAGGCTGGAGTGGATCAGGACTCCCTGAATGATTTGGTGTGGGAGTTACCAAGTAGTTCCCTGAAGCCTTGTGTTTTGAGCCCGCAATGGGTGGTGGGGGTTGGGGGCCGACCATGATCTTGACATCTGTGGTGCTGATCTTAATGGTAATGGTAAGGGAAGGGGTGAGGAGGATGAAAAAATAAGAGAGAATGAGTTGCTGAGTACATCCCCATTTTTCCTAAAAGTTCCAGAAATATCAAGAGAAGGAGACGGGGATGATGCCTTTGATTTTCCAGGTAATGCTTTAAGTTTCTCCACTTGGGGGGCTGGGTTGGGGGGTGGGGTGAAGGACTTTCCAGCTCTAAAATATGATTATGCAATGAGGGTTTTCTAATTGAATTTAGATTTCCACAGAGATTGCAAAAGGGCCACTCACAAGTCTCTTGCCTAAACCTCCAAAGCATGAAGCTCCTCTCACAATTGAGTTCCCAAACTTGGATAAGACTTCTGCAGAATGGCTCAAGGTTAATAGTCTAAAAGGTAAATCACCAGAGAGGGCAGAACCCAGGGTGCCACTGACTGACAAAAGGACTCGAACCCTTGGAACTTCTTGGGGAATGCCCAAGAGTCCCACTGGTGGTTTTTTTTTTTTTTCAGCTAAGAAATTAAGCCTTTATCAGGTTCTGGCACCCAACGCATTCTCTCCTGTGGAAGAATTCGTGCCTATTCTCCAGAAAACTGTGTCATCAACTATCCATGAGGTAATGTAAATTCAAATTAGGAGTTCCCTCCAGTCCTCTACAGGGGAGCTCCCTTGTGTGTTTCCCCATCTTTTTAAATGTTCACAGAGCTGGAGGAGCCTGAGCCTGAGGGCCTGGTCTAGGGTGCAGGGCTTCCACCAAGCACTCTAGAACACTCAGCTCCACTGTGACCACCGTTTTGCAAAGATCTGAAAAAGAAACATGGGAGATGGGATAAGAGGGAGCAAACGAAGTGCCACGGTTACCTCCTCCAGGACACATTTGCTCCCTTCATGCCCTCACTGTACCTCGTACAGACTTCCATTGCTCCTATCATGTGTTACCAGCTATAAATCCCCACCAAGGATGAGCCCTTCAAGAGGAAAAAAAAAAACTCTTCAACTCTGTATCCCCAGTGTCTAGTACAAATAAACAGTCACTGTTTACAAGATGGCTATGTGGATGGGGAGATGGAAGGATAGAAAGAAGAAGGAAAAGAATGAGGAATAGGTGGATGGGTGGAAGTGTTGGTGAGTGAATGGGAAAAGAGGTAGGTGGACAGTAAGAAGGACGGGTGGTAGATGGAGATGTGAGCAATAGAAGGATGGAAGGGAAAAATGAATGGATGAATGACAGGACGGAATGAAGGAAAGATGCAGGGAAAGATTAAGAGTGAGGGTGAGCATTTGGTGCAGCATCCCGTATCAAAGTGCCTGGTCCAAGTTCCAGCTATTCGTCCTACCAACCTCCTATGCTGGGCAGCAGGTGACAGCTAGTATCTGGGTCCCTTCCACCTACCTGGGAGACCCAGATGAAATTCTAGGCTCCTAGCTTTGGCCTGGCCCAGTTCTGACTCTTACGAGCATTTGGGGAGTGAATTAGCAGATGGAAGATCTTTCTCCATCTGTTCCTCTGTCTCTCTGTGTTTCAAGAAAGGATGAGAAGGATGGAGAACTGGAAGGAAGGAATAATAAGTGAGTAGAAAGAAAATGGAAAGATGGAAGAATGAAAGGAAGGAGAGGGTAGTGACAGACACGTAGTTCTGCAGTCGGTGGGTGAATGACTGGATGACTGGACTGACAGAGAGACAGATGTGAGAGCTCGGCAGAGGATCAAAGAACAGGATGAATAAATTGGATTTTCCAGGTGTCCATGAAGGCCTATCTGTGTTCCCAAACCATGGCCAGTATGTATCAGTGTCTCAGCGTGCTCCCTAGTACCAAAACCCGCCAACCACCAACCGCATCTTAATGACTCTGATGTTCAGAAGAGCTTTCCAGGAAGACAGCCTGGCTTGCTGTCAGGCATGGATAGTTCAAGGGCTCACTCTCCTGCAGGTGCTCAGACCGGCTCCACACCAGGCATCACCTGCTGTAGCTACTGCTGCTGCTCCTGCTGGGCATGTATGGGTGGGGGCAGTAACCTGACCCCGGATGTGTTGAGGGCATCTGATTTGCAGAACCCAGTACTCAGAGTGAACATAAAATCCTTCCCCTCACCTGTTTCTCTTCACTGGCTCCCCCTCCTGCCCTTGCCCGAGTGCAGAAGGCAATGGTACAGTTTGAGTGGCACGACGGGACAGTGAAGAATATTCATGTGGATCCGCCCCTCCTCTATGAGTACCAGGTCAGTGATGAGAGCACTCAGTCAGAATGCAGGGCGTGGGAAGGGAGGATGGCGGGACTACGGAGACACCAAGCCATTCACTGAATTCCTTCATGTAAACAGACTGTGTGTTCCCCCTACACATGTCTCTAGAACTTTCTCCAATTGCCAACCCAGGCAGGGACCTGAATTCCTCAAACAAAAGTCTCTAATCTTTTGGATCAAGTTCTCTCTCCTGCCCCATTTGATACAATGCGATACATTGACTTGTCTCTGCCTAGCCTTGGGGCAGACTTGTCCATGATTCAACAGAATGTTTAGGCGGAGGATACCCAGGGACTTGACACGTGATTCCTAGAAGTCATCTAGAGTATGCCTGCTTTCCCCTAGGCTCCTAGGGGCGCATGCACACAGCACTCACTCTCTGGGCCCATGCTTTTGCAGAAACAGCTCAGCAGAGCCGTGCGAATATTTGAGAGGCGGATTGAGTGGCTCTCCCTGGCCAGCAGACGAATCTGGGGCACTGTCTGTGAAAAAAGGTATCTTCCCCAGGCAGTGCTCTTGTCCCTCATGGGTCTTGTATGTGGCACAGCAAGGGTCAACTCACAGATCTTCTGTTGGTAGCATCAGAAGTCATCACTTAGAGTAGGGATCAGAGCAGAAACCCTGGGGGAGGAAAAGGTCACCGCTCTGTTGTCAACATCGATGATGTCATTGTGTATCACTCAGGATTCTTTCAGTTAGAAAGCAGCAGAAACTAAATGCCAAATTGGCTTAAACAAAACAGGAAAGTCTGATTAAGGTGACTGAAAAGTCTAGGCTAGATTTATTTTTTATTTTAAAGATTTGTTTATTTATTTGAAAGGCAGAGTTCCAGAGAGGCAGAGAGAGAAAGAAAGAGAGAGAGATCTTCCATCTGCTGGTTCACTCCCCAAATGGTCACAGTGGCCAGAGCTGGGCTGATCCGAAGCCAGGAGCCAGGGGCTTCTTCTGGGTCTCACATGCAGGTGCAGGGGCCCAAGAAATTGGGTCATCTTCCACTGCTTTCTCAGGCCATTAGCAGAGAGCTGGATTTGTCATATGGGCACCAATTTAAGTCCTGGCTGCTCTACCTCTGATCCAGCTCTCTGGAGCTATTGTGGCCATCTGGGGAGTGAACCAGCAGATGGAAGACCTTTCTCTGTCTGCGTCTACCTCTCTGTAACTCTGCCTTTGAAATAAATAAATAAATCTTTAAAAAATATATATATAATATTTTTTAAAATATTATATATTTATCATATATAATATATAATATATTATATATTATGTAATAAATATATAAATATGTTATATTGTATTTATATATTTTATATATATATATATATATATATATATATATATATATATAAACAGCCTTTAAAAACATTGGCTGTTCTTTAAAGGAAAGAAGTTTGGGGCTGGTGCCGCGGCTCAATAGGCTAATCCTCCGCCTTGCGGCGCCAGCACACCGGGTTCTAGTCCCGGTTGGGGCGCCGGATTCTGTCCCAGTTGCCCCTCTTCCAGGCCAGCTCTCTGCTGTGGCCAGGGAATGCAGTGGAGGATGGCCCAAGTGCTTGGGCCCTGTACCCCATGGGAGACCAGGATAAGTACCTGGCTCCGGCCATCAGATCAGCACGGTGCACCGGCAGCAGTGCGCCAGCCGTGCCGGCCATTGGAGGGTAAACCAACGGCAAAAGGAAGACCTTTCTCTCTGTCTCTCTCTCTCTCACTATCCACTCTGCCTGTCAAAAATAACAAATAAAAAAAAAAGGAAAGAAGTTTGGGAAAATCATCCTATGCAGTTCTTGCCCCTCAAACCGTCTTCACGCTGAGACTTTCTTCCATTACGCAGTTTGCTGCAAGGGAGGGTTCCACGGTCTCCTGTCCACTGTTGGCAACTCACCACTGTTGCCCTCAACCCATGGGGGAAGATTTTGGCCAGCCTAAGAATTTGGCATGCAAACCCTCCCTCACCTCTGGAAAACACTTTAAATAGTAAAATGGAAACGAAATAAACAGTATCTGAGAGATTCGGTTCTCCTCTGAAAGCTTGTGTTTCTTTTTTAGGGTGGTTTTTACTGCTGGATATCTCTGCGACCAATTCCTGTACATTATTCATATCCAGCACTCCCTGAGGCTGCTGCTGGAGGAGCAGCTCTCCAACAAAGACTCCTTCAACCTCATCGCGTACCGTGCCGTGTAGCCCGGGGTGGGGAGGGTGGGTCACGTGTGGGCTCGGACGCCGTCTCTGGCTTGAGGCTGAGGGCAGGCTGCTGGGTGGTGGATGTTCTGAGTGTTAGCAGCCTGGGATGGCCGTGTTTATCTGATTTGGGTGATCCTGTTTGGGGCGTTGAATATTCAGTGGTGCAGGACTGTCCCACTGGGGCGAAGGTGATAAGTGGCCCCAGAACATGCTGCGTGATCAGCCAAGGGGGAAAGTAACTCAGCTCATTGCCCCATTTGGCTCCCGAACCAACAAACACAAAAGAGAGGGGCCCCAGCCATGAGCTGGTCTTTGTCCTCGGCTTGGTTCTAACATGCCACAATATGTCTGAGATGTAGGGCCCTAAATAAAAACCTAAATAAATATTTAAAAGTAAATAAAAATTATACATATAGAAGTGTAAAACTATGCATTTAAATGATGTGTAACTTATATGCATAGTTTTAAAATTATGTGTAATTAAAAATGTTATATATTGTATAATTTCTTAAATTATATATATATTTGTTGCCTGTAACTTTTAAAAATAATTTCTATTTTATTTACTTGAAAGGCATAGTTACAGAGAGAGAGAGAGAAGAGAAAGAGAGAGAGATCTTCCATTGCTGGCTCATTCCCCAAATGGCAGCAATGGCCAGGGCTGGGCCAGACCAATGCCAGGAGCCAGGAGCTTCCTCCAGATCTCCCACATGCATGCAGGGGCCCAAGAACTTGGGCCATCTTCCTTTGCTTTCCCAGTGCATCATCAGAGCTGATCAGAAATGGAGTAGGCAGGACTCGAACTGGCACCCATGACAGGCGGTGGTCTTACCATCATAACATCGGCTCTGCCTGTAACTTTTTATAGTTGTAATTGTAGGGTAGAACCCATTTTGTTCTTTGATTTTTTTTTCTACTTACCTTGTTTCTCTTTGTTGCCTATGTATAATTTTAAAATACAACATTTTAAAATTAATATAAATTAAAAATTATACATATGTAGCTTTAACAATTGCATACTTTTTCTAGCTAATTAGGGAAGAAAAGAGAAAGGAATCCAGTTGAGGTGAGCGTTCTTTTTTTTAAACTAGTTTGAGAGACACAGACAGAAAGAGAGCTCCCATTTGCTAGTTCACCCCCCGATTCCTGTAACAGCCAAAGCTGGACTAAGTCCGCAGCCAGAGCCAGAACTCCATCCAGGTCTCCCTTGTGTGTGACAGAGACTAAGTACTTGAGTGATCACCTACTGCCTCTCAGGGCCCACGTTTGCAGGAAGCTGGAGTCAGGAACGGGAGCTGGGCATTGACCCAGGTGCTTTGCTGTAGACCATCTTTTTTTTTTTTTTTTTTTGGACAGGCAGAGTGGACAGTGAGAGAGACAGACAGAGAGAGAAAGGTCTTCCTTTGCAGTTGGTTCACCCTCCAATGGCCGCCGCTGCAGCCGGCGCACCGCACTGATCCGATGGCGGGAGCCAGGATCCAGGTGCTTTTCCTGGTCTCCCATGGGGTGCAGGGCCCAAGCACCTGGGCCATCCTCCACTGCACTCCCTGGCCATAGCAGAGAGCTGGCCTGGAAGAGGGGCAACCGGGACAGAATCCGGCACCCCAACCGGGACTAGAACCCGGTGTGCCGGCGCCGCAAGGTGGAGGATTAACCTATTGAGCCACGGCGCCGGCCTGCTGTAGACCATCTTAACTGTGGCATCTTAACTGACATGTTAACTACTGGGCTAAACACCTGCCCTGAAATGCTCGCTTTTACTCAACCTCTCACCAAATAGGGCATGTTCTAACCCTAGCAAGCCAGCAGTTAATACCAGGTATGATTCAGTACCATAGCCTAAACTTTTCCTAATAAATTCTACAGAAAATGCTGAGAGAAACACTTTAGACAAGATTTTATTTATTTACCTAGCCATCTATTCAGTCAGCGAAGCTTTATTGGAAACCTGCTACATACCAGTCACTGCTGGCATGGGGCATATGGAGGTAAATGCACACAGTTAAGGAACTTATGGCCTAGTGGTGGGAGACAGGACTGTTATACAGTAAGTGCTATGAAATGTGTTCTTAGAAATAGGTAAGGCCAGCACCGTGGCTCACTTGGCTAATCCTCTGCCTGCGGCGCTGGCACACTGGGTTCTAGTCCCAGTTGGGGCACCAGATTCTGTCCCGGTTGCTCCTCTTCCAGTCCAGCTCTCTGCTGTGGCCTGGGAAGGCAGTGGGATGGCCCAAGTGCTTGGGCCTGCACCCCATGGGAGACCAGGAGAAGCACCTGGCTCCTGGCTTCGGATCAGTGCAGCATGGTGGCCATTTGTGGGGTGAACCAACGGAAGGAAGACCTTTCTCTCTCTCTCTCACTAACTCTGCCAGTCAAAAAAAAAAAAAAAAAAGGGTTTTCTTTGTTTCCTTCAAAGGTTTGGAGCCACAATTGAAAGCTGGAGGCCAGAGCTGGTTCCTGTGACCCATGACAACTTACAGAGCGCCTGGCGGTAGGTGGCGGGCAGAGCTTCCGTGCTGCTGCGTCTAAGGACAGCCTCCATGATGTTGCTTCCTCTATCCCTGTCCCCACCAGGAATAGCTCTCTAGGGTCCCTGCCCTGGAGCAGTCACGAGCAGCATTCAGAAAACCACTGCCTTTGGTGCGCTGCCTCCCCTCTGGGCCTCATGGGTGGCTGCCCTCAGCTCGTGTCCCTGCCTTCCCAGGTGGCCCTGACCCGCAGTGCGGGGCAGCAGAAATATCCTCAGTGCCCTGCGGAAGGCCGTGGAAGTGGACTTCAAGGACAAGGACAAACCCAATCCCAGGGCATCTACCTCTTCACGGGGGGCATCCCCGACCAGGACGTGGTACGTACACTGAGTCCTGGGCTCCCGTGAGCCTCTGTGACCCGTCCAGCTTCTCCTGGGAGGATGCCTGGCAGGGGTCTTTTTCCGGTGTGCTGTTCTAAGCCAGGACTTTACGATGCAGACAAGCGCCTGGGGATGTTATTAAAATGCACTGCCCAGTTCAGCAGGTCTGGGGGGAGTGGGACCGGAGAATCTGTCTCTAACAAGCTCCCGGGGACACTGATGCTGCCACTCTGCAGACACCCTGGTGTCCACCACTGCTGGGCGCAACTCCCTGACCCTCCCTAGTAAGACCCAGACTCATCTCTTTCTATCCTGGGTCCAGCGTGCTGATCCAGGTGCCTCATGGGCTCTCAAGAAAGATGATCAGGCTGAACTGGTCTGAAGCCAGCAGCTATGGCCCCTCTTGCTTCTCTCTCCCATAGTCCATGCTCGGCCTACATGGCAGAGGCCTGTACGGCTGCGACCTCCATTGACGTGTGTCTCTTCTACGTGGGTGAGCCGCAAATGGACAGCATAGCCCTGCCTGCTATGCCAGCCGCACTGACACAGCCACTGCCTACAAGGAGGTCCACCCGGGCTACTGGTGGCCGCTTCCACTGTTGGAGACACATGTGTGAGAGTGCTGCGGGAGTAACAGAGGCTGGGACACACCAGTTGCTTTCCAACCTCCCTGACTCACAGAGGAGGTCACTCCTAGATGCATGGCATGCCTGTGGTCACAGAGTGGCCTGACTGGGGCTGGAGTTCTGTTTGCCAGATCTTTCTTTCCATGAAAAGTACTGGGCATGGCCGTTTACACTATTGGTGATCATTACTTATAACAGCAAATATGCACAGGCCAGCTGTTACGGACCAGACACACTTCTAAGCATTTTACATATGATTTGTTCCTCATAATAACCTGTGAAGGAGGTGATCATTACCCCCATTTTACAGACGAGGAAGCTGAGAGACAAAAGAGCCCCAAAGCACACAAGTAGTTAAGTGGCAGAAGCAGGAGCTAAACCCAGGCAGGCCAGGTTAGCCATTACACTCCCTGTCCTCCTAAATGTGACTTCTGTGCCTAACCTACTCTTCTTG